CTCTATTGAAATCCACTTTGAAAACATCCCCTTTAAGTCCTTGCTTCCTCCAAAAATCAATTCCTTCATTAGCTAAATATGCACAGTCCAACAATTGTCTACCCGGAATAAAAGCGAACTGAGACGGACTAATGATATCCTTGATACAAGAAATAAGTCTTTTTGATAGAACTTTTGAGAGGATTTTGTACAAGCTGCCCACAAGACTAATGGGTCTATAATCTTCAATGCTCTCGGGAGTACCTTTCTTAGGAATCAAGGTTATAAACGCATGATTGACTCCATGCTCCCATGACTTACCTTGATAGAAATCAGAGAAAAACTCCATGATCTTCTCCTTAAGATTTTCCCAATATTTCTTATAAAAACCCATGGTAAAACCATCCGAGCCAGGGGCTTTTGCACTATCCGAAGAAGAGATTACTTGCCACACTTCTTGCTCAGAGAATTCCACCTCCAAAGATGTACTCTGAATTGCAGAAAGTTGTGCAAAATCCATATTTAGGTACTCAACCTCCATTGCTGAATTAGTGTTGTAAGCCTTCTTGAAGAAATTGAACACACTGCTTCTAATTTTTCCCGAGTCCGAGATAAATTCTCCCTTAATTTTCAATGAATGAATAGTGTTGATCCTGTTTCTTGTCAAAGCACTCAAGTGAAAGAACCTCGTATTTCTGTCCCCATCCTTGATCCACCTACTCCTGGACTTCTGACACCAAATGCTCTCCTCATTCCTTAATAGCCTCCACAACTCCTTTTTACATTCTACCATCTGATCCCACTCCCCTTTGGACAAGATTCCACCTTGCGACTTCCTTTCCCAATTCTCTATCTTCCCTTCAAGAACCGAAATGGAGTCTGACAGCCCAACATTGCTGATTCCAGGCCAACTTCTAATCTGGTTTTTAGCGTTCTGAAGCATTCTGAAAATTCCCCCAAAATTCCTCTTATTCTTCTCAACTGCCACAAGATTAACCACAAAATCATCAAAGCCTTGCTCCTGTAAAAGATAATTGAAGAATCTAAAAGGTTTTGGGCCCCAATTTATACAAACATCTTCCAGCAAAACCGGTTTATGATCAGACATAGAGATCGAAAGAAGTCTCTGTGAAATCTTAGGAAAACAGTTGAGAAAACTGTCACTTAACAAGAACCGATCAAGCCTAACCCATGTTGAATCTTCTCTAAAACTACTCCATGTAAAAGACTCTCCTGACATGGGCAGATCAATGAGCTTAGCTCTCTGCACAAATGTTCTGAAAATATTTAAAGTATGTCAGTTCTGAGCTTTCCCTAGCTTTTCTTCCGGATCAATATACGCATTAAAATCCCCCCTATACAAACTGGTAAATTCAACGAAACTACAAAACACAACTCCCCAAAAAAATCCTCATTTTCGTCTTCAATAGCCGAGCCGTATAAATACGAACTCTTTTTGATCATTCAAAAAATACCCCACCAATGCCAAAAACCTGCTGTGTACATGCTGATTGGTGACTTTGAACATATTCTCATTCCACATACTAATCAAACCACCCTTAGACCCCTGTGCTGGAGACAACTTCACTCCCTTCAACATACTCCCTCCTAACCTCCTTAGAATATACTCCTTACAATGTTCTAGCTTGGATTCGTGAATAAACACCAGAACTGGTTTGACCTTCTTTACAAGCCTAGCGACAGAAGCGATCTTCTCCCTCCTCCCTAAACCTCTAATGTTCCACGAAAGAATTCTTAAATTCAGCATACAAATGTATCACTCCCAAACGCCCCAATCAAACCCATCCAACCGAAAAACCTAACCATCATATCCATCATCCTTTACAACCTCCGAACCATTCTCAAGGCAAATAATCTTTTCAATAAATTTCTCCTTCCCATCCTTGAAAGAGATGCCTAACATCAGACATACTTCCCAAATGGCCATAGCTTCCTCCACCAGCTTAGAAAAAAGAGGAGAGTAGGCTGTTTGAATATTAACCAACTCCAAGGCTTGATAAATTAAACCTCTTCTATTCTTTCTGCGAACTCTTCCTAACTTTGGAGATGAAAACGCATCAGGTGCCGCACACTCTGACACTACTGCCGACGGCTGTTGTAATATTCTGCAATTTGATCCCTTCTGTTCTTGAATCGTATTAGCCTCTGAACCAATAAAATCAGCTTCTTTACACGAATTTAGCCATATTTTCTTGTTCCTTGACCTTTTATAAACTCTAGCATATTGACCTCTTTTCTTTCTCCCATCCTACGTTGATCGAATAGTCATACAAGCAGACACAGGAAATCCCCTCTTCCACCTCTTAACACTCTTTACACTTACCTCCTTGTTTTCCTCCTGCACCAATTGACTTACCACTTCAATCTCCATTCTATTTTCTTCGACTACCTGGACACCCTCACCTGCTTTTCCAATTAAATCGCAGCTATCCACCTGTACTAAATCATGAAGAGACTGAAACTTGTTATTCTCTCCTACATCATCCCACCTCACCTTAACCGCCGGCCCAGCAGGAATAATTTTAGTAACTGGTGAAAAGGAATCCCAGTTTGAATCAGATTGGGCTGAGCAGCTCGGATCCACCACTGCTCTCAGCCCAAGACCCGCATATTCCATATTAAAAACTGGCTCCACTTCACATTCCAGATTCCCTGACAGCCCATCACTATTGGATTTCGTGTGGGACGTCTTTTCAGGGAACTGTTCCCCACCTTCCTTAATCCCCCCACTTTCTAAATTTCTTTGTCTCCACGTGTTCCCCTCTGTCCCCACTACCACTGCTGACAATCCCCGAATGCCTACTTCCTTCCCTGAACTACTACCATCATCAGACCTCTTCTGCAACTTTTCTCCGATTATAGCCGGGGGTGTATAATAACTTCCCCCCAAAGTAATTTTGACCTTAAAAGATCTTCCATAAGACCATACAATAATGGATTCTTGAATGTCATAAGGACTTGCAACCCTCATCTACAGTCTCGCCGATGAGAGATCCTCTTTATTTCTGGTCTCATCCAATATACAAACAAGGTCTCCCCACCTTCCTGCTAATCTTTCCAGGAATAGTTCATTCCAGCAAAGAAGTGGTAGCCATACTAACTCTACCAAACCATACGCCATTGGAACACCTTCATCACTCAACACTGGAGATAACCATTGAAACCAGGAAAACATTTTGTCACGGTACTCCGACCACGCCTTACCGAAATCTTCATTTGACTTGAACATAACAATGACAACATTCCCTACGAAACCCCAACTTACTATCTTTACCTGAAATCCCTCCTTTACGAATGCCTCCTTCACCATGTCCAGCTGCATGGAATATTTGACTACCCCTGTTAATGAATACTTCACCCAGCCATAATCATCCGTAGGAATGTGCATATCCCATACATTCCTAACTCCATTTGCTTTCACAGACTGACCTCCTTCTCTCTCCACTAGTTCAAACTCCATGTTCTTCGCGCTATCCCCCTTCAGCACTTCCTCGTACGATCTGCCATTCCTCAGACTACTCGCTCTTTCCGTTTGCATCTGTTGCCTACCTTTGACCCCTGTGCCTGATTTGATACCTTCCGGTTGACGTTTATACCCCACTATACCTCTTCTCCTATTCTTCTTGTACTTTGCCACCCCCACTGTCACTCGCTTCCCATCAATCAGAGTTCCATTCACATTCTGAACTGCTCTATTGCAACTTTCCTCTAACGCAAATTGCACAAAAGCAAACGTGGACGATTTGTAGTTCGGTTTAAAAATAAAATTTGGAATATAAACCTTGACTATTCTGCCATACTGGATGAAAATCTCTCTAAAGCTCACTTCTAGAAACTCTCTTACTAAGGTTGTCAACAAAGACAGTCCATTCCTCATCTGAGGAGGGACTCCCATATGCACTCGCTCCGTTTCTCTCTCTAACTATCTCTCTCATTAAAAAAAATCTCTATTGGTCTGTAATCTTCAATACCTTCAGGATTTAGTTTTTTAGGAATCAAAGTAATGAAAGCATGATTGACCCCATGTTCCCAACTCCTCCCTCTGTGAAAGTCATCCACAAACTTCATTAAATGATCCTTCAGTACAAGCCAGAATTTTTTTAAAAAACCCATCATGAAACCGTCTGGACCCGGGGCTTTGGAACTGTCCGAATGAAACACTGCTTCCCAAACTTCCTGTTCTGAAAATTGTACCTCAAGTCCATTCTTCTGCTCCTCTGATAATGTCATAAAATTAAGATTAATATCCTCTACCTCTAGCGTATCTTTTGAACTGTAATTCTCCTTAAAATACTCAAAGACAGTTTTTCAGCTTATCCGGATCAGAATTTCTTCATCAGCCACTCTCAAAGCCGAAATTGAATTCATTCTATTTCTATTCATTGTTGTTAAATGGAAAAACTTTGTATTCCTATCCTCTTCCTTGATTCACTTCAGTCTTGATCTTTGTAACCAAATACTCTCTTCCCTCCTGTGCAACTTCCACAATTCGTTTCTGGACAGAATCAACAAATCCCTTTCTTGAATGGAAATCCCTCCTTGTAACTTCAATTCCAGACCATTTATCTTGCCTTCTAGTTGAGAAATTTCTTCAGAAATTTCCTTTTGACTCGTAAATGGCCTATCCCTGATCTTCTGTTTTGTTCCTTGAAGTAAAGAAAATATACCCCATCGACCATTATCCTTCTTCACCTTAGACGGTGAATTTTCAACCAACTCAACAAACCCCTCTTCCTCTAACAAGCAGTTGAATAATCGAAAAGGTTTAGGTCCCCAATTGTTGCATTCTTCTATTAACACCACGGGATTATGGTCCGAAAGGGATTTTGATAACATTTTCTGAATCACATTAGGAAATTGATTTAGGAATGAACCACTGATAATAAACCGATCAAGCCTTACCCAAGTAGGAGACTCTCTATTGTTGCACCAAGTATGTTTGAGTTTAGTTTATAATGTTTGAAATGTTTAATCATTGTTATCTTTTTGCTGTTGTGAAGCTGGTTTTTACTTCATTCAACAGTGATGATGAAGATTACCAAGGTTATGAATATAGCCTGTTTGGCCAACTTTCTGAAGTACGCGTTGTTTACTTGAATCGCTTTGTGCAGGAGGTAATGTAACTCTTAATTCTTAGCAATTACTTAGTGCAGTTTCTGTTATCTCATGTATTTCAAATTTGATAATGTAGGTTATTAGTTACTTTATGGGTCTTGTTCCCAACGATTCAAAAAGTGTAGTCAAATTTAAAGATCAAGTTTCAAACTCGGAGAAGTGGTTCACCACTAGTGAAATTGAAGGATCACCAGCTTTAAGGTTGGATATTTCACTAAGGAAACCTATAATTTTGATGCCTCGCAAGACAGACAGCCTCGAGTACGTTGATTCTGGAATACAGCTTTACTCAAGTTTACTTTGTTTTCTGCCTATGTGTGCTATCTTTATTTTTGTCATTGATCATGACATGTTAAAATTAACTTGGCAGTTATCTGAAGCTTGATGTCGTTCATATTACGGTTCAGAATACCTTCCAATGGTTATGTGGCACTAAAAGTGACTTGAATGCTGTCCATTTTGATATAATGACAATCAAGGTGAGGATCGTGACTGGAATTTACATGATAGGCCAACTTGGTAGATTTAAGAAATTGGAATAAAAGTGTCACAGAAACATTTATTGTGTCTCCCTTTAACTTGGATATCATGAACTCTTCTTAAAGCTATAATTTGTTTGAGGCTTTTCTTTGTACTTTATTTGACTTACTCCAACAATGTTCAACATTTCCTTGGAAGTTGTGTATTTTTTTTACAGATTATTGTATAAAAAGGATAATCAATCAATTATCTATTGCTAATTTTGATGGGTAATGATACATGTTGCACCAATTTTGTCCAAATATTCCCTTCTAGACTGGGATTAATTTGTTTAATAAGTTCAAGGTTGGCCTATGAATTTCGTAAATAAGATGTTTCTAGATGCACCAATTAATTATCACCACATCACATGGGACCAATTTGATTTGATCAATGATTTAATTCAACTATTAACCTGGCTAACTTCGTCTTTCTTATGCATTTTTTTACTCTGTTTTTCCTAATGGGATGCAGATTGAGGATATCAATTTAAATGTTGGTACTGAATCAGTTTTAAGTGAAAGTATTATTAAGGATGTCAAAGGGGTTTCTATTGTCATCCGGAGGTCTCTTCGAGACTTAATGCATCAAGTACCAAGTATTGAAGCTGCCATCAAGGTAACACACCGTGTGTTTATGTGCTGGTACAGCAACCAAAATGCTTTGTTGTCTTCTTGACGTTTATATGATGAGAAGAGTTATATCTTTCTTTGACATGATTTTCAGATAGAGGAACTGAAAGCAGAGTTGACGAACAGGGAGTACATGATTATTACTGAGTGTGCATTGTCTAATATATCTGAGACTCCGCATATTGTGCCACCATTAAGCAGTGATTTTCTGAAATCATCATTGGACGCTGTAGAAGATGTTATTCCTGAAAGTGGTGTTGAGCCTAGGACTCCAAATGGTGAAACTTGGACTGTCATGAAGGTCTCAGTTGTCATCAATCTTGTTGAAATGGGCTTATATGTTGGGGAAGAATGGCGTTCACCTCTGGCCACTGTGCAGGTAAGTTTCAATTTTCTACATTTTTTTGTTACAGTCTGTAGTTCTATCATTTCATTTGTTCTTTCTGATGAATGTTGAGTTTTAAAGCTTTCAAAGTGAATAAGACATCTGGCTTTTAAGTTAATTGTTCATGCTATAGTAAATTGTTTGCACGTCCTGGTTGTTTTTCCTCTTTGTCATGCAGGCAAGTGATGCCTGGCTTCTCTACATGTCTAATACTTTAGACGAAGGTATTCTATCAGCAAGTCTTAAGGGTTTCACTGTGATTGATAACCGTGTGGGAACCAGAGAAGAGTTTAAGTTGGCAATAGCAATGCCAAAGAACCCTCTATTTTCTGTTGCTAATACCAATGACCAGAACATATCCAATGCAAACAATACAAAAGAGAATTATATCAAACCACGTCCTACGATGCTTCTTGTTGATGCGAAATTTAGTAAATTGTCAACATCTGTTTCCGTTTGTATCCAGAAGCCTCAGTTGCTTGTAGCACTTGATTTTCTGCTGGCACTTGTCGAGTTCTTTGTTCCAACAGTTGGCACCATGATGACAAATGAAGAAGATAAGAAGTCCTTGCATATGGCAGATGCTATTATTCTAGATAAACCAACATACGCACAGCCATCTGCTCAGTTCTCACTCTCTCCTTTGAAACCTTTAGTTGCTGATGATGAAAAGTTCGATCATTTTATTTATGATGGTAATGGTGGAGTATTGCATTTAAAAGATAGGGAAGGAGTTGATCTTGCTGCACCTAGTAATGAGGCTTTGATATATGTGGGAAATGGGAAAAAGTTGCAATTTAAGAATGTTCTTATCAAGGTATATGTTTTGAACACATCTTTTTTTGTTTGTCGTAATGAATGAACATCTTTTCTGAGAATGGACTAATCCTTAACTACCATTATCTTGGTGCAGAATGGGCATTATTTAGATTCATGTATTTCCCTGGGAACCAACAGTGGCTACTGTGCTTCGAAGGATGATCTGGTCTACTTAGAGGGAGGAGAGGAAGATCTTGAAGTGGATACTTCAAGGGAAATTGCTAATCACATCACACCTCAAAATGCCGTTGTTGACAGATCTGCAGAGTTTATCATTGAGTTTCAGGTTGTTTGGTTGGTTGTTTCTTTCCCTTTTTGTTTATTTATATTTTGGATTTCCATTTGTGTTTTCTAGTTTTTGTTCATAAAGCTAGCTAGTTATCAAGGTGTGTTTTGGTCAATGATTTGCCGGAAACCGAAAGGATATTCCTGTTTTCAGTTGGTTGGTAGAAAAGCCACTAGATTTCACTTTATTTTAGTGGCAAGGATGAAGTGGGTTTTGGATAGAGATCCTAGGCTTTCGAGGTATGGTGCCCTCTTTATCCGCCAAAAAGGGTGTGGTTGAAACCATATGTGGTATGGTTCTTGGCATATTTCTTGGTGCTTCCGTTAACGTTTCAAAAGTTACCAAATCAACATGTTGCAATCTTTGAGCCGCCAGGCTTGTGTATAGATGAACTGTTTATTGGTTTCAATGTGATAAATCCGAGTACTATTCAGAGATGAAGCTAAGGGGGCCAAGCAGGTGTCCTGGCTTCTCCCCTTAAATATAAGGTCTTCATTTATGTTTCATATGTATTTGAAAGAAAGGTAAAATTGCAGTCACCACCACCCCCCCCCCCCAAAAAAAAGTTTCATAACTTTTTGGATTACTATGCTATCTTGACTAGATTATATATACTCATAAGACTTATCTTTCTAATCATAAAAGACACCTGAAAAAATGAGATGACGACGACTAACATGGCCGCTTCTGGCATAATGATACCATGATGTTGGTTGCAACTATTGCAAAGCATGACTGAATGTGTATCTTGCTATTGTTTATGATTGACTATGAATCATCTTCATTGTCGAAGTCTAAATGCTGACTTGCGTTTGTGTACTGTAATTGATGTCAAGGCTTCCAATGAAGTGATCATATGTTATTGTTCCCCCTGCTCACATATGCTTCACATGTTATATTCTGAATGTGACATGATTGCTATCAGTTATGATTGATTTAAAGTGACATTTAATCTCTATGACATTAAAATTTCGATAGGTGCCCATGAATAATTTTACCTTGTGCAGGCAATTGGTCCAGAACTGACCTTTTATAATGCATCAAAAGATGTGGGAGAATCTTCAGTCTTGTCTAACAAACTTTTGCATACCCAGTTGGATGCTTTTGGAAGGTGGTTCTTTTTTACTTTTCTCATCTTCAATCACAAGCCTTATGTTTATTTCTTCTCAATGCTCAATGCAGACTCTACTTCATTCTCTCTATAGATTTGTTTTTATTCTAAAGTCTGAACTATAGTGCATATTCAATGTTCATATTTGATAACCATTTTTTTCAATATAAATTATGTTAAATCCCTTTATTCTCAGAAGATAATAGCATGATCATTGTATGATTTTTGGTGTATAAAATTTGTAGCTGGTATAATTTTCATGATCAAATGGTGGTTGAAATTTGAATGCTTGTAAGCACTTCTTAAAGTGTTCAGACATCAAAATAGAATTTTTAGTTTCCTTCGATATCAAATGTAGAGCAAGAGTAATGTGGCCTAGGAATGAAGCTTTAACTTGTAATGAACTCTTGACAATATGACAGTAGATATTCTGATACCACATACTTCTGCAGGCTTATTCTGAAAGGTGATACTGTTGAGATGACTTCAAATGCTCTTGGCTTGACAATGGAGAGTAATGGAGTCAGAATTTTGGAGCCTTTTGACACCTCCATTAAGTATTCTAATGCATCTGGAAAGACAAATATTCATTTATCTGTTTCAGACATATTCATGAATTTTTCATTCAGCATCCTTAGACTGTTTTTAGCTGTTGAAGAAGATATTTTGGCCTTTCTAAGGAGAACGTCAAGGGAAATGACTGTCTGTTGTTCCCAGTTCGACAGAGTTGGAACAATTAGAAGTATGCCCATTTCTTTTTCTCTTCTTAAATCCAATGTTGAACGAACTGAATTTGTTTGAAGTTTCACATGGTGACTTATTGCCTTAGCGTGCTTTACAGATCCCAACAATGACCAGATATATGCCTTTTGGAGAGCTCGTGCACCTGTTGGCTTTGCTGTTCTTGGCGACTATTTGACACCATTGTCGGTGGACTCTTAACTATGCCTTTTTTTAAAGTTATTGTACTTCTCTTTGTACTTTGATACTGATGGGCTTCACATGACAGGGACAAACCACCTACAAAAGGAGTTCTTGCTGTAAACACCAACTATGTGCCAGTCAAGAGACCCACATCCTTTAAACAAATTTGGCCGCCTTTAGATTCTGGAGGCATCTCTGATGAATTTGAACTCGATTCCAAAACATTGTCAAATGGGGTGCTTGGTGAGGGAGAAATCTGCTGTTCTGTTTGGTTCCCTGAAGCACCTGAAGGTTATGTTGCATTAGGTTGTGTGGTTTCCCCTGGGAAGTTGCAACCACCACCATCTTCAATTTTCTGCATCTTGAATTCTTGTGTTTCTCCTTGTTCACTCAGGGACTGCATTACCACCAGTGATACCAGTCGGTATGTTTAATAATAAATCTTCTTTCTATCATGAATTCAGTTACCTGTATATCCTAATGGGCACATGTTTTTTATTTATTTTTGATGGATTGCTAGTACTGTTATGTTAACAAATTTCCTAATGAAGTTACTTCCAATATGCTACTTGTGTATTGCGAATATCCATGCAGTCTGGCATTTTGGCGCGTGGATAATTCTCTTGGGACCTTCTTGCCAGCAGAACCAACGAATCTTAGTTTGCTAGCTAGACCATATGAATTACGCCATGTAATTATTATGTCTCCTGAAGTATACCCAAAAGCATCTAGAAGTTCAGATATCCAAACTGCTGTATCTGGTCGCATCAGCAATCAACAGTCAGATCATTCAATTGTTGTAAATTCTGGTCGGCGGTTTGAAGCTGTTGCTAGTTTTAGGTTGGTGTGGTGGAATAGAAATTCAAGCTCAAGGAAGAAACTATCCATATGGCGTCCATTGGTTCCCCAAGGAATGGTGTATTTTGGCGATATTGCTGTTCAAGGGTTCGTGATATTTAATAATGGATTGATTTTGGATGTGTTGTATAATTTATAAACATTGATGATTGCTAATTTTTTGTGTGTCAGGTACGAGCCTCCAAATACATGCATTGTTCTTCATGATGCTGAAGATGAAGATCTTTTCAAAGCACCTTCAGGCTTCCAGCCAGTTGGACAGATAAAGAAACAGAGAGGAATGGAGAGTGTCTCTTTTTGGTTGCCTCAAGCCCCTCCAGGTTATGTTTCGTTAGGTTGTATTGCATCTAAGGGGACACCAAAGCAACAAGATTTTTGCACATTAAGATGCATGCGGAGTGATATGGTAACTGGTGATCAATTTTTGGAAGAAAGTGTTTTGGACCCAACAGATGCCAAGTTTGGCACAGTACCATTTAGCATCTGGGTTGTTGCTAATGACTTGGGGACTTTTTTTGTCCGTGCTGGATCCAGAAAACCTCCAAGAAGGTTTGCTCTAAAGCTAGCAGATCCATATTTGCACAGTGGTTCAGATGATACTGTCATTGATGCTGAAATAAGGACCTTTTCTGCTGCCCTTTTTGATGACTATGGTGGCCTGGTAGGTTATTTTATTTGAAGTTCCTCTATGGTAGCTTGGTGATCTATGGTTCTTTTTAGCTCTGAAAATGTTTAAGCCCAAACCCTTCCAGTTTCCAATAAATAAGTTTCTCACGTTGTAATTGGACTTGCCAAAGTATTAACCACCACTATCTGTGATAAATTTACTTCTGGTTTAATTCAAACGGTTATATACGTGACATGATGCAGGTGGTTCCATTGTTCAATATATCATTGAGTGGAATCGCATTCAGTTTACATGGAAGACCTGAGTACTCAAATTCTACTGTTAGCTTCTCTTTGGCTGCCAGGTCATATAATGATAAATACGAATCATGGGAACCGATTGTCGAGCCAATGGATGGGTTTTTAAGGTAATTTTTCTTATGATGCATCTAGTGATCTAACCAAATGTAATACCATAGTTAGCATCACTCGGCTGTCTGGCATGTTTAGTTAACTTATCCAAAAAAATATAGTTTTTGGACTGTGTTTTAGCTCTCTTGTGGTGAATAAGATATAAGTGATAGTCCATTCTAGATTCTGTAAGTTCATTCTATTAAATTTTGAGTTTTCTAGCTTGATCTCCTTTGCTCCAATCATAAAAGGCTTCTAAACAACAAATGAGACTTTTTTTTTGATAGGAATAGGAGGTCTCATTAAAAACCTCCCTCTTAGTGGACCTTATCCGTAAGGTAAGGCCCAACTAACGGAAGGAGGAAAAGAGTACTTCAATTTATTAATGAAAGCCAAGTTACATAAGACTTAAAAACACTTTTACATACAACATGAGTCTAATAAATGAGACTTCTACACGGCTGATTCTGACAATAAGTAACTGCCAGCAAATAAGAGCTCCAATACGTCATGAGTCTAATAAATGGTTCGCTTCCCACTGGAGCGAACTGGATAGCTTTCATTGATAATATGAGTTCTTTAACCACCATGGTAAGGTCATTAAGGTTTTCATCCCCTTGTCAACAAGAGACCCAAATACAGGGATGTAACTATTGCTTTCATTTTTTTTGCGAGATAGAAAGATCTGCTCTACCTTGTTGACCAGGCAAACAATGCCTTGATCTATGGGAAGAGAATTTCGGCAGGGGTAGCAAAGTATCAAAAGGGCTTTTTTTTTTGATAAAAAAGGCCTCATTAAAAACCCCCTTCATACCCTACATGTTATAATATAAACATAACATGAAGGGCATAGGAAGAAGGAAAAGAGTGCCTCTAACTTTTATTAACGAGAACCATAATACACCTCCACACCTACATGACTAACTACTAACAATATAACCTTTAAGCCACAACTGTGGATACATAACGCACCCTAACAACTCCCTTAAAAAACAGCCAAGATATAACACCTCTAACCACAATAGAAACCCAAAAATCAACCTATACCAGCTTTTGCTAATTCATCCGCTTCCCAATTTGCAGCTCTCGGAATATGCCTTGTAATAATACCCTTCATTTCCACACGAGTAGCTATATCCGTCACCAATGATTTTTTTTTATAGGAATAGGAAGCCTCGTTAAAAACCTCCCTCATAGTTGACCCTTTCCTAATAGAAAGGATCAAGTAGTGGAGGGAGGAAAAGAGTGCCTCATTTTATTACCAAACCGGAATTACATAAGACTTAACAATACAACAGATGATTTTACATTAGACTTAACAACTTCAACTACTTCAAGAACCTACAGCCATAGAAAAATAAACTATAACTAAAACATACAATCAACCGATCCCCTGCTTTGCTAAACTATCTGCCTCCCCATTATAAAACCTTGGAATTAACCTAATTAAAACCACCTTTTCAGAAAGGATCAACAAAATTTCTTTAACAAGAGGCAACATGAAAACTGGTGCCAAAGACGGGGTGTGAATCCACTCCACTGCTGACTTACAATCACTCTCAACAACCAATCTACTGGCAGCAGAACAACTTGAAGCTAGAAAAATTTCGATGCCTCTTTTAATAGCCTTTAACTCTGCAACTGGTGGGGGACCTTGACCAATATTCCCTGAAAAAGTCAAAAGAGTGCAGCAATTCCAGTCCCTTAAAATGCCTCCAATACCTCCAATCGAGTCATTTAACTTCACAGCTCCATCAACATTCATCTTTAAGAAATCAACAGGTGGAGGAAGCCAACCAATAACAGAATGATCCTTAGGTTTAGGAACAGAAATACCATCAGCAAGTGATGGATCCCCAATTAGCAGATCTTCCTGAATAGGGAATTTAGGATACTTGGCTAGGAACCATTTAGATAACCTAAATCTCACAAGGAAAAAGAGAGACAGCCTATCAAGGTTTAAACCTTCAAACACAATCGCATTCCTTGCTTTCCAAATAGACCAAAAAATGACTCCCGGGATAAACTTCCAAATCAATGAATTCAACCTCAAACTCTCCCACGAATTAAGTAAGGAAGGAGGGTCCTGTGGTAGCACAATAGACAAGTCCCAGAAGCTTGCCAATTTATTCCATAGTTCCCAAACTACAAAACACGAAATGAATAAGTGTTGCACAGATTCCTCATGTTCCTTGCAGAAAGGACATAGAATATCTTCTTCTAAGGACATTCCTCTTTTCACTAACTCCATTTTAACTGCAACTTTCTGGTGAGCTAACTGCCATAGGAAAGCTTCTACACGAGGCAGAGACAAACCCAACCACACCCCTTTTGATCACAAATCAATACCCCCAACTTCCTTACCAAGAGCTTTCCTGCACGATTTTACTGAGAATAACCCATCACCACTTGCAGACCAAGAGAGAAAATCTTCAACCGAATCAGTGAGTTTTATTTCCTTTAATTTCATCATCAAATCCAACCATTGTTCCAATTTCCAATCAGACAAATTCCTCCTAGTAATAATGTTCCACTGCCAACCATTCAACTCAAAGCTTCCAAAATCAACAACCTTACCCTATTTGTTAGTAGAGAGTGCAAAAATTCTAGGGAAAAGAATTTTTAAAGGAACCTCATCCACCCATGGATCAGTCCAAAAAGATATGGACTTACCATTGCCTACTTGCAACTTCAAAAATGATCTAAGACACTCACCCGCCGAATCATTCTTCAAAAAATTATTAGCAATACTTCTCAAATTCCAAGAAGATTTTGGAGAAATGACCTTACTAATAGACATAGTATTACTACTAATATTTTGCTTACTACATAACACTCTTTTCCATATGGATTCCTTTTCATTTGCGAACTTCCACACCCATTTCCCCAATAATGCCCGATTAGAAACATTCAAGTCAAGAACCCCAAGGCCACCACTGTTCATTGGTTTGCAAACTGTACCCCAACTAACCCAGTGGATCTTCCTTTTATCCGCACTGTCACCCCATAAAAATCTGGCCATTAAGGAGTTTAATTTATTCCCAACTTTGCAAGGCATTTTAAAGAAAGATATTAGAGCATTAGTCGAATCTGATTCCAAAATAATCCTCTGGCTTGGACTATAACCAACTTCCTCAGTAAGAATCAACCCTCTTTTGATCGCCAAAAGCTCTGCAAGTAAAGGAGGACCTCCCCCTACCTTCTTTGAAAACGACCCAAGCACCGAACCACTCCCATCCCTAATCAATCCACCAATTCCCCCCTTATCCCAACCTTTGACCATTGCACCATCAACATTTACTTTTAAAAAACCTTCCAGAGGAGGACTCCAACTAGAAGGAGGAGGAGTCCTCTTATTCAAATTACCATTACAGTCTGCTAATTTTAAGTCCCCCATCAAGGAATCGAAAGGAATATGGACATCCTTAAATGAAGTTCCAAACTACGAAACAATTCTGAACCTTGTAATGAAGAACAACAACGCAGAATCAACCTTCCCTTGCTAAAAAATCACCTCATTCCTACATTTCCAAACCGACCACAACACAACCCTAGGGATAAACTTCCATATGAAAGATCTTGGAACTAACTCATCCCACACAATTAAGAATTCCATCAACTTAGCCGGAACCACAAAGCAAACATTCCAGTACTTTAAGAACTTAACCCACAGGTCCCACACCACATCACAGTGCAGAAACAAATGTGAGACCGACTCATTACACTTCCTGCACAAAGAGCACACAGTGTCTTCCACCCCAGTAACTCCTCTCTTTAGCAGTTCCTCCTTCACCACTACTCTGTGATGAGCAAGTTGCCAAACAAGGTTTCCACTCGTGGTGGAGCTACCCCCTTCCAAACATATCTTTCCCAATTACCTTCTACTTCATCATTACCCTCTCTATCACACCACATCACAGTGCAGAAACAAATGTGAGACCGACTCATTACACTTCCTGCACAAAGAGCACACAGTGTCTTCCACCCCAGTAACTCCTCTCTTTAGCAGTTCCTCCTTCACCACTACTCTGTGATGAGCAAGTTGCCAAACAAAGGTTTCCACTCGTGGTGGAGCTACCCCCTTCCAAACATATCTTTCCCAATTACCTTCTACTTCATCATTACCCTCTCTATCAAAATACAATTGCATGCATGATTTTGCTGTAAAACAGCCTTCACCAGTTCCCAACCAAACCCAACAATCCTCCTCAACTAATGATAATGAGTAACTGTTCAAGAGAGAGATAAGCTGCAGCCACTGTTCAACCTCCCAATCCACCAGATTCCTTCTTGTCTGAATATCCCAGACCCCACCCAAATCATTATACAGCCTGAACTCTGCAACCTTCCCCCCTTTGTTGTTCGACAGAGCAAATAACCTTCGAAACCTATCTTTCAGAGGAACCGTACCCAACCATACATCATGCCAAAACTACACTGATTCTCCATTCCCAGCTCTAACACACAAACTTTTCCTAAAACAATCCCCAAATGCATCACTTGAAAAGAAGTTCTTTACAACTCCTCTCCAAATCCAAGAAGTACGTGTTGTCCAAGTATTCCGGATCATCATTGAATTTGGATCCATATTGTTTACACAACAGACCACTGTTTTCCACCAAGAGGATTTTTCTGCAGCAAATTTCCACACACTTCCCCATAAGAGCCCTGTTTAAAAGCAACAGATTTGGAATTCCCAAACCCCCCAACTTCTTTGGCTTACACACCAATTCCCATTTAACCCAATGGATCTTTTTTTCTGTCGATCCCCCCCAAAGAAAAGACGCCATGATAGAATTTAATTTGTTGAGAACACTAATAGGGATCCTAAAAATAGAAAGGTAATAAATTGGAAGAGAGCACAACACTGATTTAACCAAAACTGCCCGTCCAGCCAAAGATAAAGACTTTGCCTTCCACCCAGGCAAACTATTATAAAATTTTTGTACCACCGATTCCCACAAAGAAAAAGAATTCCTCTTAGCCCCTAACGGTACTCCGATGGAAAAGCTCCTCTTGCACAACCTATTTCCTTGGCCCAAGAAGCTAACTCCTCCTCCCCCACATTGATTCCAAAAATTCTGCTCTTATTCAAATTCAACTTCAGCCCCACCAACAATTCATAAATTAAAAGCACCCTTCTAATATTCACCAAATCATGAGTAGATGCCTTGCTAAAAATTATTAAGTCATCCGCAAATTGCAAATGTGATAACATGAAAGACCGACCCATCGAGCCTAATTCAAAACCCGAAAACAACCCTTTGTTCACTGCTTTCACCAACATTAGATGTAACAGTTCGCCTCCCAAATTGAACAACATAGGAGATAATGAACAGCCCTATCTTAATCCTCTAGTAGTGTATATTCTCTCTGTAGGTGTGCCATTTACCAAAACCGAAATGGAAGCTGTTGAGATACACTTGTACATCCAAGAACTCCATCTATCTCCAAACCCTATTTTGCTCATTATTTTCACCAATATCCTCCAATCAACCGAATCATAGGCTCTCTTGAAATCCACCTTAAAAACAACTCCCTTCAATCCTTTTTTCCTCCAACACTCAATGCCCTCATTTGCTATAAACGAACAATCCAAAATGTCTCCTCGGTATAAATGCAAATTGAGATGGACTAATAACTTCACTAATACACAAGCTTAACCTTCTCGCTAGTACTTTTGAAAGAATTTTATAGAAACCCCCAACTAGGCTAATTGGCCTAAAATCTTCTAACCCCTCCGGATTGGCCTTCATAGGAATAAGAGAAAGGAAAGAGTGATTGGTGTCATTATCCTAGCCCTTTCCCTCATAAAATTTCTTAAAAAACAGCAACAGAACTTCCTTCAAACTTGACCAGAACTTCTTGAAAAAACCTAAATTCAGTCCATCCGGGCCAGGTGCTTTGTTACTATCCGAGTTAGCAATTACACCCCAAATTTCCTCTTCAGAAAAAGGCTTCTCAAGGGCCAATCTCTGTTGTTCCGAGAGTTGTAAAAAATCCAGGTCCAGTTCCTCCACTTCTAATATATTTTCCTGATTAAACAACCCCTTGAAAAAATGCACCACTGAAGTTTTAATTAATTCTGGGTCTGAAATGTCTTCATTGTCTACTTTGATGGATTTGATACCATTTCTCCTTCCTCTACCTCTTGCACATTGGTGGAAAAATCTAGTGTTCTTATCCCCTTCCAAACTCCACTTCAATCTTGACTTTTGTAGCCAAATCGATTCTTCTTTTTTATACAAGTCCCACAGCTCTTTCTTTGCTTCCACTAAATTCTTCATAGACACCATGGGGAGACCTTGTTGCAATTGAAGTTCCTTTTCATGAATTCCTTTCTCCAACCTATTTATTCTCCCGGGAAACTCTAAATACCCCTTCCTAGACCATTTCTTCACTGCTTCCTGCACCTCTTTTAATACAGTAGAAATCGGCTGTCTATTCTCCACTCTACATAGCTTGTGCAGCTCTCCCTCCATCATTCTACAAAAACCCTCCTCTTCCATGACATAGTTAAATAATTTAAACGGGTTCGGTCCCCAATTCCATCCCCTATTTTCCAGTAAGATGCTGTTATGATCTGAAACAGACCTTTCTAAGAGTTTTTGTGTTATCATGGGGAACACTGATAAAAAACTTTGATCCACTAAGAACCGATCTAGTCTCTCATAAGTTGGAATTTCTCTATTGTTGCACCATGTAAATCGACCTCCAACCATAGGCAAATCCACTAGATTAGCTTTACTCACATTCTCTGAAAGCAAACATTGAAGCTAAATTCGCTGCACCTCCAATCTTCTCCTGTGACATAACCACGTTGAAGTCCCCTCCGAGACAGACTGGACTGTCTAAATTCTCCAGAAATAAAAGCAGCTCCCCGAAGAACGCCTCCTTCTCTGACTCCACACTCGGTCCATACACATTTATGAACCAGCAAGACCCTAGTACCTCATCAATAGTACCCTTAACTGTTACAAATCTCCTATGAATGATCTCCTCTTGAACCTGACACTTTTTTATTCCACAAAGTAATCAGACCACCAACAGAACCTTCAGCTGCTGAAACTGCCGTAGCTGTCAACAAATTTCCTCCCATTTTCCTCACTATCGATTGATTCACCACTTCCATTTTCGATTCCTGAATGGATAAAACTAAAGGCTTTCTCTCCTCCACAACCCTCCTAACAGCTCTAGCCTTTACCCTCCTACCCAAACCCCTAATATTCCAAGACATTAAATTCCAACTAGTCATCAATATCCAGCTATAACCCTAAAATCCATCACCCTTTAATTACCCCCCTGTACTTCCCTCTCCTTTATCAAAGGAATCGTTTTGTTCATAAAAGCTTCTTTCCCCCCTCTGAATGTGACCCCTAACAATTCACTTACGTTCCAACACTCCAAAGCCTCTGCCCCATCCACTTCCTCATTGTTATAAGCATGCTCCGAACTTGTACCAATACGGCTCCTAGATCCCCCTTCCTTGATCGTGAATAAACACGTTTGCACTTACCCCTTCCCACTCTACTCCCAGAATTTTTATGAGCAGACACTGATAGTGCACAACATTGAATCCTGTTGTAGTAGTACAATAATCCTTGCTTAATCTCTCCTTCTCTTGATCCAGCCCACTCCTCACATATACTATTAGGCCCCTAAGAAACCCACTCCCACAGTCAACTTTCTCATGCTCATTGGGAGGATCTCCTAGACATTTCCCATTTTCTCTCCCTTCATTAACTTCTTCTGACTTTTCCTGCTGGATGGAGACATTACCTGCCTCAGTCACATCTTTGCACAGGTCAAACGTATTTTCCATTCCTATGTTTAAATTCAAACCCCCCTCGGTATTTGTGTGTATCCCTGGTTGGGAACTTCTAACCCATTCGTCAACCCTATTTTGGGATTTTGACAGCTCCTCTCCCACCTGCTCTTCCTGTCCATTTTGCACTTCTTCATTGCTCCATTCCGAAGAACTTTTCTCCCATGGGTCTTCTGCAACTTCTTCTTCCTCCATGTCTGTTAACTCAGGAAAAAAATCCTCCACACATTTAACCTTAATTTTAATCATGAACTTCCTCCCATATGTATTGATGATGACATGTTCGGGAATATCAAATGGACTCTCAACCCTTAGTAACAACTGTGCCACTCTGCAATCCACTCTATGTGCAGTTTGATCTTGAATTCTAACTAACTTGCCCCATCTGGATGCTAAACTAGAAAAGAACGGGACCGACCAACAATTTAATGGAACACCAACCATTGAAATCGCACAATAAGCTAATGGGATGCCCCCCTCGTCCACAACCGGATCCAATAATTGAAACCAAAATGACAGAGCTTCCCATCTTTCTTCCATTGCAATTCTTCTCTCCTCGACCAACAATTATCCTTGGCAATTGATATTTATCTTTGATTTTACTAAAGTTTTGAATACTGAAGTTTGATATTTAAGTACTTATGTTTTTCTGAAGCCTTTTCTTGGTAATAAAAATTCTATAAGTTCATATTTAGCGGATGAATTTATAAGCTTCTCTTACCATCTTCCTCTTCCTATTTACCAAAAATGTGTTGTCCTTTACCCAGCCATGTAGTTATGAAATAAATGATCCTTGGCTCCTTTTTGGCTTTATCTTATCTTTCATCTGTTTTTATTACTACTTTTCTCACCCTTCTATTTTGTTGTTTTTAACTTTCCTGGCCCAATTTATGGTAATTTGCAGGTATCAGTATGATCCTAGCTCCCCTGGAGCGGCTTCTCAGTTACGTTTCACCTCCACCAGGGATCTCAACTTGAATATCTCAGTGTCCAATGCTAATATGATTATTCAAGCTTATGCAAGCTGGAATAATCTTGGTGATATTCATCAATATTATAAAAGACCAGTAAGTTTTTGCTATTTTTTGGAATGTTCTGATAATACACTATTTTTTAGTGCTTGATATCTATATCGCGCTGATATGAATGCTCTTTTCTTATCTTCTATTGTTTTCAGTTTTGAAAATTTTCTTTTATATTGAATTTTGGATTTGAAAGTTTCTTCTTTACATTACTTTAAATAGGAAGCACGTTTTCCAACCTCTGCAACAAGATCGATTGTTAATATTCACCAAAAAAGAAGTTATTACATCGTCCCACAGAATAAACTTGGTCAGGATATTTTTGTTCGTGCCATGGAGAGGAAAGGTTTCTCGGATATTACTATGATGCCGGCTGGTGATACGAAGCCTATAAAAGTTCCTGCTTCAGAAAATATGCCGGACTCTCACTTGAAAGGAAAGCTGTGCAGGAAAATAAGAACAATGATAACAATCATTATAGCAGATGCAATGGTATAGTCTTTTGATCTCTTTCAATCTATTGATGGAGACTATGACTTTCTTTGTTCTTGTTACAAACTTTGTGATTTATGTATGAGCTAATGTAAAGAAGGAAAATGTTTACAAATATAAATCAGTGTTCAATTGAAATTTCATTTTTCCTATTATTTTGGTTAACTTTGTTGAGAATGTTATTGGATTGCTTTTGCAATTTTAGAAGTTACAAATAAAAATTACGATGATTGAACCTGAAGGCATACTTGGTTATTTTTGAATTGATTTTAAAAGTTATGAAGTTCTAGATTCTGGGATATCGTGGCAAGTTATAGAAATTTGACTGTGAAACAGTTTTCAGTTCACTTATGTTCCATTTCACTTTCTATTCCTATTAGCTATAATGTGACAAATACTTTGATCATTTTCATGGTCTGTTGGCACGCTTTTGATGAAGTTACCCAGAGTTGAGGGATTGAGTTCTCATCAGTATACTGTGGCTGTTCGCCTTTCTCCAAGCCATAGCCTTCCAAGTGAATCACTGCATCACCAACAAAGTGCACGGACATGTGGACGCATCTCAAGTAACATGTCTTCTGATATTGAATTGGTTGACTGGAGTGAAATATTTTTCTTTATAGTTGACTCCCCAGTACGTATGAATAATCTTCATCTTTCTTTAATGGACCCTGTGCATTTGTAATGCGGCTTCTCCTTTTCTGCATATTCCCTTATTATAATGTTGATTTTTCACAGGACTCATATACAGTGGAGCTAATTGTTGCTGATGTAGGAAAAGGTATTAGATATATATGCCAACCTATTCATTCTGCAGGCGACAACTTAACTTGGATATGTATATATGATATTCCAAATCATTAAGCTGTTAAACACAACTCTTAAACAATTTTAATGTTGTTGCATTTGTTGTATCGCTGAGAGAACGATCAGAAATGTGATAAGGGGACAAAGGATATGAGAATATGTGGTAAATTTAATAGTTATACAACTAGCATCAGGACTTCTTTAGGTTACTATCTCAAGCTTATGAATTGTGCACCAAATAGACGTTCTATGACTGCAGGAACTTGTTTTGTGTATTATAATACATATACAATAAAATAAAATAAAAAAGATTGTATATATTCTAATAACGTTGATATATGACACTTTTGGATAAAAAAATAACCTGTTTTCCTGACCCAAGGTAATTATGATTTTGAATCGAAGTGACATGCTAGCATCAAAGGGAATGAAAATATTTTACTGTTGGGGTTTTGATAAAGATAACAGTAAGTCCATTTACAGTAAATGAAGGGGTTTTTTTAATGGGGCCTTCCTTTTTATCAAAAAAAAAAAAGCAACTCAAGTAGTATCTTTTTGTAGTCTAGAATAAAAGAGGAACTCTAGGAACCAGATAATCTCCTACTTTACATACCTTCATTGCTGAATCCACAAGTTCTTTTACAGGTGATGCTATTGGATTTTTCTCAGCTCCTCTGAATCAGATAGCCATGCATACTCCCGATGGTTCGCATGATTACTCCAATTCCTTAATGTGGATGGACTTATCCTTGCCAGTTTCTACTGTAAATGTAATTCTCTTATTTTAAAACTTGTTGAGATAATCTTTATATATATATATGTATGTGTGTGTGTGTGTGTGTGTAACTTGGTACTTGAGATCACTAATCCAAGGTTTTAAGAGGAAATATTTTCAAGGGATTCCAACAGCTGTGATACCTAAATGGACTATTTCTTGTAGAATACCACTCAAGTAGATGGGAGCAGGAAACATTCAAGTGGGAGATTGAGATGTGCTGTAATTTTGTCATCAAAATCTGATGTTGATGAGACAAGTGAGCCCTTTGTCGGTGGCAGAAAATTCGGATTCATTCAGATAAGCCCTAGCATGGGAGGACCTTGGACTACTGTGCAACTCAACTATGCGGCACCCACTGCTTGTTGGCGCTTAGGCAATGATGTTGTGGTTGGTGAAGTTAGTGTGAAGGATGGCAACAGATATGTAAATATTAGGTCACTGGTTTCTGTGCATAATAACACAGATTTCATTCTTGATTTATGTCTTGTACCAAAGTCTTCCACTCAGATTATGGAGCAGCCTACTGATTTAAGAATACCTGAAGGTGCTCAACTTGATTGTAGCAGAATTCAGACAGATGAGTTCTTTGAAACTGAAACTTATGATCCAAATATTGGGTGGGTGGGTTGTAATGTTCAACTGAATCAAGATCAGCCCTATTGCGGAGGCTCCCAGAAGGTAAGCTAATTAGTAATTTCTTAGCTGTAACTAACTCATTTTTTAGCATAACTAGTTTTTCTTGCTGCCTTATCTAAATCACATGTTAACATGCTCATTATTTTAACATGAAGTTTTTGTTTGAAGAACCTCTAGCTATGGTAGTATTTTGAATTATGGGAATTATGCCTCCTTTATCATTTTCCTACATCAGCAATGAACATTGTTTCCATTGCAGTACTCCAGAAATCTGTCTTTCGAAAAATGATCACTTGATATATATTCATCTTATTTTACTTGTATTGCTTTTGTCTCTAATTCTACGAACATGCAATACATTTTTCCCCTTCCACTTTATATTGATTGCATTTGTCCCGGATAATAAGGTTACGAATTCCCCGTGGGTAAACTTGTATACTTAATACCTGACAATACGTAAATATGATATCTGTATAACTTTTTGATACTGGAGTAGTCTTTATATTTATATTGTTGCACATCTTTCATAATTACATGCTTTAAAGCCTGTTCTTGTTCTAGGGTCTATAGAAATGTATTTTGATATTTCAGGACCTACTTATCCTATCAAGAAGGGGTTTTTTAATGAGGCCTTCAATTCCTATAAAAAAAGGACCTACTTATCCTTTAAGATGAGGTCTAATTTGGTTTTTGACTCCTCCCCAACCTTGCAGGAAACTTTTGGTGTCAAGTTACCATCGGGTTGGGATTGGCTAGATGATTGGCATTTGGATACACCATCTGCTAGTACTGCTGGTGGATGGGTTCATGCTCCAGATGTAGAAAGCCTAAAATGGCCCGGGTCTGATGACTCCCCAATATCTTTGAATTCTGCGAGGCAAAGGAAATGGATAAGGAATAGGAAACAAATATCACTTCACACAACCAATGAGATACTTTTGGGCCAATTGAAACCTGGAGATACAGTACCTCTTCCCTTATCTGCCTTAAATCAGTCTAGACCATTTGTTTTCCAGTTGCGACCTTCAGAATTTGATGGTTCTAACAAGTATTCTTGGAGCTCTGTAGTTGAAAAGCCTGGTCAACGGGAGGTTTCTGAAAAAGCTAAGGGCACTTCTGGGATATATGTATCAGCTCTCACCGAGTCTGAGGAATTGCTATGCTGCAACCAGCTAATTGAGACCTCTTCTAATGCCTCTGCACATAAACTATGGTTTTGCTTAGGCATACAAGCAACAGAGATATCAAAAGACATACGTTCCGATTCTATCATGGACTGGAGTCTTGTGGTCAAATCCCCATTGTCTATCTCCAATTATCTTCCTCTTACTGCTGAATATTCTATCCTTGAGATGCAACCTAGTGGTCATTTCATTGCCTGCTCCAGAGGAATATTTCACCCTGGAAGAACTGTAAATATTTACAATGCTGATATACGTAATCCTTTGTTCTTCACACTACTTCCACAGAGAGGATGGATGACATTAAATGTGAGTTTAGGAAAATCCAATAGTTTTTGTTTATAATGCATATAAAGGTGCCCATCAAGTCTGTCTATTCTGTCGTACTCTGTTGTCTATTTTCTCTTTTAACTTCTACTGATTTACAGGAAGCTGTTCTGATATCTCATCCTTGTGAAATTCCATCCAAATCAATAAGCTTAAGAAGTTCAATTTCTGGAAGGTTTATTATATGCTGGATTACCCTAAAAAAATTGAATTCTCTTGAATATGTTAAATCAAAATCTTCCCCGATCTAATGCCTTCAATATTTGTGGTATATGCAGGATAGTTCAACTCATTATTGAGCATAATTCTGACAAGGAACAAACAATTTTGTCAAAAATAATCAGAGTCTATGCTCCTTACTGGTTTTCAGTTTCCAGATGTCCGCCACTTACATACCGGCTTGTTGATATGGGAGGGAAGAAACGCACAAGAAAGATTGAGTTCCCATTTCGTGCTAAAAAAGAAAATACAGGAATCATTGAGGAAATAACTGATGAGGAAATGTATAGTGGTCACACAATTGCCTCATCATTGAACTTTAATTTGTTTGGTCTGTGTGTAGCAATTACGGAGTCTAGCAATGAGCACTTCGGGACCGCTAAAGATCTTTCTCCCCTTGCGGACATGGTAGATCAAATATTAACTGTAATTAGAAGCCATATCTTAAAAGAATTTTTTTGTTTAGCACTTCCTTTTTCCCGACTCTGCAGGATGGCTCTGTGGATCTCTATGCTTATAATGCTGATGGAAAATGTATGCACCTTTTTGTTTCTGCAAAGCCCTGCCCCTATCAATCTGTCCCTACAAAGGTAGAAATATTACTCAGTGCTCTAAAAATGTATGTGTTACCAGGAATACAAGAAATTCATTCAATCAAATTTTTGTAGGTGATTACTGTCCGGCCATACATGACCTTTACAAACAGACTCGGTCGGGACATATACATTAAGTTAAGCAGTGAAGATGAATCTAATATTCTCCGCGCATCTGATACAAGAATCTCCTTTGTACATTGTGAGAACGATGGGACAGATAAACTTCAGGTTAGTGGATGCCTAAAACCTCACTTCCCGTGTTTGTAAACTATCCACGTCTTGGTGGTGTGCCGTGATATTATGGGATAATACTTATGCCTATCTCATTTCATGTTTACCTACACAGGCCTATATTGCAATTTTGTTTTACGTTATGATTTTTTTATAAGAAATGGGCCTCGTTAAACCCCCTTCATAACCGTCGAGCTATATCTCTCAACGGACATTGGAAGGAGGAAAAGAGTGCCCAAAAATTTTATTTCTAAAACATAGTACAAACAAGGTAAAACCATTTCAAGTACAAACCATCCTCACAAAACACCCAAAACGCTCAACCTCCCCCCATCCATAACTCCCCACATTACCCTATGCCCGACTTAGCTAAACTATCTGCTTCACAATTAAAACACTTATAGATATGCCTAATAGTCACATTATAATTCATCACGTGCTTGGCGATTTCCTTCACCATATGAACAAAAGAAGTCGGGCTTGCCTCCGGGTTTTTAATCCACATCAAAGCAATAGAAGAATCACTTTCTACAATAAGACGCCCCTTGTCGCTCCACTCCGAATCCAAGAAAAGACTCAACCCATATTGAATTGCTTTTAACTCGACAAGAATCGGGAGGGCCTAGACCGGTCGCTTCCGAGAAATACCCCAACTGCTTATGATCAACATCCCTAAGCAATCCACTGATACCACTACGCCTCCAGTCACTACTTACAGCCCCATCCACATTCACTTTAAAGAAAACCCCGAGGAGGGAGGCACAAACCATAAGTCTTGGAAACTTTCTTCATCGGAGAAAAGTGCAAATCAGCCAAAGTTAAGTCTCCCACAAGACAATCTAGTGAAACAAAGAAATTCAAATTCTTCACCGAGAACTAAGCAGCCACCCTGTACCTGGCCAAAAAGAAAAGAAGAGTTTGATCCAACCTTCCATTCTCAAACACCATTTGATTTCGACATTTAGAGGAGCAATTCCAACCCAAACCAGCTTCGACGAAGATAAATCCGGAACGGACAAGTTTGATACTAAACTAATGCACGATTTAACCGAATATACACCCTCCTGTTCCCCTTCCAGACACAACAATCATCATCCTCCGATCCAAGACTAACACTATCCAACATTGACAATAGCTCCATCCATTGTTTAACTTCCCAATCCAGCATATTTCGCCTCATTTGGATATCTCAGAACCAACTCCCATTGTTTAGACAACCATAATCCTCAATGACCCCATCTTGATTTACTAACAGAGTGAAAAGTCTTGGGAATTTTCCCTTCAATGGAATGTTGCATATCCATGTATCGTGCCAAAATAGAATGGAATTTCTCTTCCCCACTTGCAAAATAAGATGATTGTGGAAGCAAAGGCCAAAAGCATCGTTCGACCAATGATTATTAATTACTTTTTTCCAAAGCCAAGAAGAAATGGAAGGTAGATTCTTATCCAGCAAAATCGACCTTCTATCTACGCTGTACTTACAGCACACCATCCGCTTCCACCAAGACTCCTTTTCACTATTGAACTTGAAGGCCCATTTCCCTAAGAGGGCCCTATTCATCATATTTAAATCCGTGATACCCAAACCCCCCATAATCCTTTTGTTTGCATATTGTCGACTAATTCACCCAATGGATTCGATTTCTCTAAGCCGAGCTCCCCCACAAAAAGTTAGCCATTAGTGAATCCAACTTCTTTCGAACACCAGATGACATCCTGAACAAAGACATATTTAGAACAGACTTTCCTAAAACAGCCCTCCCCGCAAGAGATAACATAGATGTTTTCCACCCAGCTAGCTTCTGAAAAAATTTCTTAAGAATCGGCTCCCATAAAGCTACCGAGTTTCGCCTGGCACCCATGGGAAGCCCAAGATACTCCGACGGAAAAACACCAAACATACACCCAATTGAATTTGCCCATTCTTTGACTGTTGATTCTTCCATATTAATACCATATATCTTACTCTTCGACAGATTTAATTGCAGCTCTGTATACATCTCAAAGACAACCAAAATCTTCAATATTCTTCATGTAACACCCCAACCCGTACCCGACCCGGATACGAATCCGAGATGTCACATTACCTTTTTCAAACATTACTCTTAACAAATAATAGCAAAATACTTAAAATTATATTAAGAAAATACGATAATATACATATATTAATACAAGTTTACCAAAATACTCAGAGCATACACAACTTAACCCTTTAGTTACACGCCAACACCCATTTACATAACAAAATGACCTACTGATTAGGTTGTTCTGATCTGATAGTTGCATGAGTAATGTTGTCAGCTGCTTAACATGTATCTTCTACTTTCTCGGATCCTACGCGTGAAACACTCGCACGCTAAGTCATCGACTTAGTGAGGCAATGTAATAATAATAGCAAGGAACTGGATGAAGATGCCATAATGATATGAAATGAGATGAAATCGTATACTTAATCAATGTAGTTTATATCACCATGATCCTTACCCTAAGCATATTACATTAGCATTCACGAATTTGTATTAAGAAGATTATTGACCCCTGATACCATACTGAGAACCTAAGGTACTGAGTATTGCGAGTTTGTGCACTATGTTGTCACCACAGCTCGTATAAATTGCACCGAAGTGTCGCGTAGAACTTTGTCCCGAAGGATCGCGTAGAATTTGTCCCGAAGGACCACATATAAATTCCTTAAGAATCATATACATATGCCAAGGATCAATTATGTGTCTCAAAAGAACTCACAAATGTTCCAAAGAATATATATATATCCCGAAGGACCGCGTAGACCCTCTACCCTTGGCATGCCAATTATACCTATAGTTCTCATCTACAGAACATGGGCTTTTACAATTCACATAATTTATATCGCATAGACATATCATTTTCATACCTTTATCACATAAACATTTCATTTTCCATACCTTTATCACATAATTCATATAACTTTTCCTGCATATTCATGTCACATAATGAATATAATATGAATTCATGTCAAGTATCATAATATGGAATGTGATCATGTATCAAATATTGAATCTAGACTTATCACAAGTCTAGAACTGAATATAATACTATATTCATGCTATGCATATGCACTCACCTATATTTCCTTGTTTTTTCCTCGATCGATCTTACTTGTCGATTGTTCCAGAACTCGATTAGGCTCAATATCTACATAAACATAATTTTCAATATGATTATCAGATGCCTAAGTCTTAAAATTAACTTCTAATAGCCTAAGCAAATTTAAGGAATTGATTTTTATTTTTTTTCTTTAGGGGGGAATCGGTTCCCTACTGTGGGGGTATCGATTCCCCTCTGGCATTGTGGAATTTCATATTCGTTTGAGGGGGTATCGATTCCCCTTGAATGAGTACCGATTCCCCTGGCCCAGAAATCCTATTTTGAGCTCGAAAATCATCTCATTTCAGCTCAAACCTTCCTATTTTACTCCCTTTAATATACTTAACTTTCATACTCTTACTTAAATTAATTATTATCCATTCAATACCTCTAAAACATAAAAAAACCAATCCTCCATATAGAATTTAAGAATCTTGCTCAAATTCCAACTTGTTCTAATTTTAATTCTATCACCTCATACTTCTTAATTAGCTTGATGATAAGTCAAATCCAGCTTCTAATTCTTATTATGACCTTTAATCCAAGATTTCATTCAATGGCTCCCAACCTTTAATCTCTCTTAACTTAGAATTCTTTGAGTTTCTAAGTCCTTGTTTCTCTCCATCATCTTTCCTAAATCTTCATTAACCAAAACCATGCTTAACTCATAAGAATTAATCCAAAAGAAGACAACTCACCTTTGCTTGCAAGCTTCACGGTTGGAGAAGAAGAAGAGAGAAATATATGGAACCTTGTGTAGAAATTAGAGGAATACCTTTTTTTTTATTTCTTTTTCAATAATCAAACAGGTTACACATCCCCTAAATATATACATGCTGAAACACCTAATTTCTAGGGATATATACAACTTACCTAGAATAGGATCAAATCTTATCTAAAACAGAAAGAAATAAACAGGAAATAAATATATAAGGATATGGTAACAAGCTACCAGAATCCCTTAATATATGGAATTGAATATTGATCTGTTTGACTCTAGATTTCCTTAATTTCGGCCCTCTAACATGCAGACAGATATGCATTCAAACTAAACTCCAAATAATTCTACACTCCCCCTCAAGCTGGATGGTAAATGTTAATTAACCCCAGCTTGGAACTTAGATCATCAAAAGTCTTTCTTGGTAGAGCCTTAGTAAGAATGTCGGCTGTTTGAAGACATGTGGGTACAAATAGCATTTTGATCATCCCTTCCTCTATCTTCTCCTTTATGAAGTGCCGATCAATCTCCACATGCTTAGTTCTGTCATGATGGACTGGATTCTTGGCAATGCTGATTGCTGATTGGTTATCACAGAACATCTTCATAGGTTCTCCACTAGAAATTCTTAATTCCTCTAGTACCCTTCTTAGCCATATTCCCTCACAAATACCATGGGCCATTGCCCGAAATTCAGCTTCTGCACTGCTCCTTGACACCACTGATTGCTTCTTACTTCTCCATGTGACTAGATTTCCCCACACATAAGTACAATACCCTGAAGTTGATCTTCGGTCTTGTATTGATCCTGCCCAATCTGCATCACTGAACACCTCTATGTCTCTTCTTTGATTCTTCTCAAAAAATAATCCTTTCCCTGGTGTTAGCTTCAGATACCTTAGAATTCTATACACCGCCTCCATATGTTCTTCATTTGGATTGTTCATAAACTGACTTACCATGCTGACTGAAAAACCAATGTCTGGTCGTGTGTGAGAAAGGTAGATAAGTTTACCTACTAGCCTTTGGTATCTGCCTTTATCCACCGGTGCACAATTTTCTTTAGTGCCTAATTTTGTTGTTGAATCCATAGGTGTGTCCGCTGGCTTACATCCAAGCATCCCAGTTTCTTTTAAAAGATCCAGTACGTATTTTCTTTGGGAAACACAGATTCCTTTTCTTGACCTTGTAATTTCCATTCCTAGGAAGTATTTGAGCTGTCCAAGGTCCTTGATTTCAAATTCCTTAGCTAGAAGACCTTTGGTAGTGTTGATTTCTTCCTCATAATCTCCTGTTAGGATAATGTCATCCACATATACAATGAGGATAGCCAGTTTTCCTGCAAATGAGTGTTTGACAAACAAGGTGTGATCTGATTGACATTGAGAATAGCCATGATTCTTTATTACCTTGGTAAATTTCTCAAACCAAGCTCTTGGTGATTGCTTGAGCCCGTATAATGATCTTTTAAGTTTGCAAACTTTGTTGTCAGTTTTCGGTGTCTCAAATCCTGGAGGGATTTCCATGTAAACTTCCTCAGCTAAGTCCCCATTTAGAAAAGCATTCTTGACATCTAGTTGGTGAAGGGGCCAATCAAGATTTGCAGCTAGTGATAGGAGAACCCGAACTGTGTTTAACTTGGCTACTGGGGCAAATGTTTCTTCATAGTCGATTCCATATGATTGAGTGAATCCCTTTGCCACTAGCCGTGCCTTGAAACGATTAACACTTCCATCTTCATTGTACTTGATTGAGAATATCCATTTGCATCCTACTGGCCTTTTTCCCGATGGTAATTTTGATATTTCCCAAGTGCCATTCTTTTTCGGTGCATTTATTTCTTCAAGCACAGTAGCTTTCCACTCAGGAGATCCAAGAGCTTCTTGTATGTTATTTGGGACCTGAGTGCTGTCGAGGTTGGCAACAAACGACTTGAATTTTGGTGACAGGCCTTCATATGATATAAAGGTGTATATAGGATGTTTTGTGCAAGTTCTAACCCCTTTCCTCACGGCAATAGGATAGTCACTGTCATCACCAGTTAGTTTACTCTGTGAGGGCTCAGGATTAGGATTACCTAAAGGATCTTCACAAGATCTTGGACCAGGATCAGATTCTTGGTTTTGCTGCAGAGGTGCTGGATCTTCACAAGATCTTGGACTAGGATCAGATTCTTGGTTTTGCTGCAGAGGTGCTGAAGGTTCCATCTCCTTTTGGTTCTTTCTCCTCCGTGAATAGGTAATCAACTCTTTATTAGTTGTTGATTCACTAATGTCCAGATTTTGGTATGAAGATTCTAGGGAGAGATGTGGTTGAGGAGAAATAGAGTTAGAATTTGGAGAGAGCTGAACTGATTCATCAATATCCCAAATTTGATATTCCTGGGTAAAATTGGTCTTCCCCTGAATATCAGATTTGGGGTAGTAGGGCTGGTGCTCAAAAAATGTAACATCCATGGAGTGGTAGTACTGTTTAGTGACCGGTGAGTAGCACTTATACCCCTTTTGAGTTGGAGAGTACCCAAGGAAGATACACTTAAGTGCTCTAGGATCAAATTTATCCCTTTTATGTTGATGGACATGAACAAAGGCTGAACACCCGAAAACCTTGAAGGGAATAGTGTTGATGAGACGTGTATTTGGGAAAAACTGAAGTAAGGTTTGACAAGGACTTTGAAAGTTGAGAATCCTAGATGGCATCCAGTTTATGAGGTATGCTGCAGTGAGAATAGCTTCACCCCAGAAATGTTTCGGTACATGAGTAGAAAACATAAGAGATCTTGCAACATCTAGAAGGTGCCGATTTTTCCTTTCAGCAATTCCATTTTGCTGAGGGGTGTTGACACATGAGCTTTGATGAATGATGCCATGACTCAAGAGATAATCATTGAGTATGAATTTGAAGTATTCTTTGGCATTGTCAGTTTTCAGAATTTGGATTTTGGCTTGGAATTGAGTTTGTATCATGGTGTTGAAGTTTTTGAAAATCTGACCTGCCTCTGATTTTTCTTTCATGAGAAAGACCCATGTAAGCCGAGTGTGATCATCAATAAATGTAATGAACCAACGGGAACCAGTCACATTTTTTAGTTTAGATGGCCCCCAAACATCACTGTGAATCATTGAAAAAGGATGGGATTCTTTGTAAGATTGGTTGGGATAAGAATTACGGACATGTTTAGAGAATTGACAAATTTCACACTTGAACTCATTTGGATTTTTATTATGAAATAGAGAAGGAAACAGCTTCTCAAGATACAAGAAATTCGGATGGCCTAATCTATAGTGCCATAACATGATTGCACTATCATTATTAGAACAACTGACAGAAAAAGAAGTAGGATTACCAGACACTAGACAATCGGACTGATAAGTTGTGCCTTGAGGAGGATTTGTAACCTCGAGAAGATAGAGTCCCGAGCACATTTTAGCACTGCCAATCGTCTTCCCCGAGTCCAAGACCTGAAATTCACACATGGTTGAACCAAATTTAGTCACACAATTCAGGTCTCGAGTAAGTTTACTAATGGACAGTAAATTGCAATTCAAATTTGGCACAAGAAGGACTGATTCAAGTGTAATATTCTCTGATACTTTAATAGAACCTGTACCAACCACTTTTGAGAGTGAACCATCGGCTATTCTGACCGTTAAGTGTTTATCACATGGACTGTAAGTAGAAAATAGGTCCTCATTTCCAGTCATATGGTCTGAAGCTCCAGAATCTATAATCCATGGATTTGACATCTCTTTTTTAACACTGAGAGCGCTTAAAAAATTACCTTTTTGGGCTAAGGACCCAGTACCAACCACAGTGGAGGTTTGGGCATGCAAAGACTGGTTGAACAGATTCTGTAGAACCTCTAATTGTTCCTTGCTGAATGGAGTGGGTTCAGGTGAAGGTTTGTCATCCATTGAGGCAAAATTGCCTCGCCCTTCTTTGTCGTTGGCAGACCGAGAAGACTTCCAATCTGCTGGCTTACCATGAATTTTCCAGCAAGTGTCCCTGGTGTGACCAGGTCGGCGGCAGTGATCACACCAAGGGCGTCCTTTCTTTGGTTTGGTGTCGTTGTAGGAGTTCCCTCTAACAGCAAGGGCTGAGCTCTCAAGACTTGTCATTGGTTCTTGAGAGCCCATCATGATTTTCTTTCGACTCTCCTCTCTCCGGACTTCAGAAAAAGCCTCCCGGATATTAAGTAGAGGTTTGGATCCCAAGATTCTTCCTCTTACTTCATCTAGATTTTTATTTAATCCAATCAGAAACTTATATATTCTCTTCCGTTCAATGATCTGTCTATACCTGATTCCATCATCTAGGCAGCTCCAATTGTGCTCCTCGAACAAGTCCAGCTATTGCCAATAGCGGTTGAGTGTATTGAAGTACTGGGTTACTGTTAAATCTCCTTGACGGAAGTCATGGAGAACACTCTCCACTTCAAACAACTCAGATGTATTCTCATTGTTGGAATACGTTTCCTTTGCAGCCTCCCAGATTTCCCTTGCTGTTCTGTAGAGTAGAAAGTTCTCTCCGATTTCATTTGTCATGGAATTGATGAGCCATGACATGACCATATTATTCTCGGAATTCCAGATTTTGAACTTCTCATCATCCTGGCTTGGCTTGGCAGCCACTCCTTTGAGATAATCATCCTTTCCTCTTCCGCATATGAACATCATAACAGAGTGGGACCATTGGAGATAGTTGTTCCCATTCAGTTTGTGTCCTGTAATGGGCATGGGATTGCTATCTCCACTACTGTTACTGGAGGCCATGGCTACCCGTATTTGGTTATATGAGGTATTTAGGGTTCAGAGAATGCTCTGACACCATGTAGAAATTAGAGGAATACCTTTTTTTTTATTTCTTTTTCAATAATCAAACAGGTTACACATCCCCTAAATATATACATGCTGAAACACCTAATTTCTAGGGATATATACAACTTACCTAGAATAGGATCAAATCTTATCTAAAATAGAAAGAAATAAACAGGAAATAAATATATAAGGATATGGTAACAAGCTACCAGAATCCCTTAATATATGGAACTGAATATTGATCTGTTTGACTCTAGATTTCCTTAATTTCGGCCCTCTAACATGCAGACAGATATGCATTCAAACTAAACTCCAAATAATTCTACACCTTGTTTTCTCTCAAATGCTTTCCACATGGTTTATAAATAACCTTAAGGAATATTTAATTATTTCTCTTACTAAAAGACTCCTTTGCCCTCTTAATTTCCCCTTCTTTGCTTATCCATCCTACATGAAACATTCCTATTAAATCTTTCAACCATTCAATTTATCTACTTTGGTCACTAAATTTTAAAATTTCCCAATTTGATCACTAACCCGGTATGGAGGACGTTACACTTCAATTAACCTTCTAAAGCTAAAAAAAATTATCAAATCGTCGGCGAATTGCAAATGAGAGAGCGAGAAAGACCTATCATCGCAACCGATCTAAAATCCATTAAACAAACCCAACTTTACTGCCTGGACAGTAAAAGGTTAAGCAGCTCTCCCACTAAATTAAATAACAGCGGTGATAATGAACACCCTTGGCATAATCCCCGAGATATGTTGAAGCTTTCTGTTGGAGAACCATTTACTAATACCGAAATGGATGTTGAGGATAAGCACTTCAAAATCCAAGACCGCCATCTCTGCCCAAATCCCATGTACTCCATAATTTTTTTTTTTTGATAAGAATTTCAGGCCTCGTTAAAAACCCATGTACTCCATAATTTTGATCAAGACATCCCAATCAACTGATTCGTATGCTCTTCTGAAATCTACTTTAAACACAATACCTTTCCTCCTCCACTAGCCGATGCCTTCATTTGCTTTTATGATTTTCAAAATGATCTATAGTTTTGCCTACTTGGTTTTTAAAACTATTTATTGTTATGGTTTTCAGGATTGTTGTTTTTCTTCATTTTTGCACTCTATGATGCATCAAATTTATCTTCCTTATTGTGTTGATTCATTTGAAATCTCCAGATAAGACTAGAAGATACAGATTGGTCATTTCCTGTTCAAATAGTGAAAGAGGATACTATCTCATTGGTTTTGAGGGGACATGGTGGTACAAGGACTTTTTTGAATGTAGAAATACGTGGCTATGAAGAAGGATCACGTTTTATAGTTGTATTCCGCCTTGGATCAACCAAAGGTCCTATCAGGCAAGTATACATTGTTTCCTAGATATAAATACTGATAGTTTGTGAGGCGATGCAAGTTTATGTTGGTGTTTATTGACTTGTCAAAACATGAATAAACAGGATTGAGAACAGAACCTTTGATAGAACAATAAGTATTTGCCAATCTGGATTTGGTGAGTATGCATGGATCAGTTTAGGAGCTCTTTCAACTACAATTTTTTCCTGGGAAGATCCATATGGAGAAAAGTTCATTGATGTTAAAATCAATGGAGATTGCAATAACCGAATCTGGAAAGTCAATTTGGAAAGTTTTGTGCAGTCTCCTACAGGTGAAGGAGATCTTGGAATGCAGTTGCATGTTTTTGAAATAGGTAATATAAAAGTTGTTAGATTTACTGATAATCGGACATGGAAGTTGAGTTCACATGGAGATAGGCCTCTGATGGCTGCTGGAAAGCCACAGGTTGATGTTACACCAATAGAAGTCATCATTGAATTGGGAGTTGTTGGGGTATCTCTTGTGGACCACATGCCAAGAGAGCTCTTTTACGTGTACCTTGACAGAGCCTTTATATCATATTCTACAGGCTATGATGGTGGAACCACCAGCAGGTAAGAGCTTCAATTTCAGATTTTGTTTGGCATGATATTGTAGTTTTCAGCTGTTTGGAAATTTTATTCTTGGCCATTGTAGTATAATGTTTCTGATGACACACAGCTTAGAATGTTCTGCTACCTGTTGAAAGTTATTTAAACACGTTGTGCTTTATGATCTAGTGACTTCTTTGAATTTTATCAGTTGCATTTAAAATTCCTATTGTGTGGTGTACTCTTGTTTCATAAATGGAAACGGTCTGTTGCTTAATATGAGATGACTTAAATTAACATCCTTTTCCTGAATTCCTTGGCTTTTTCATTCCTTCTTTGAAAATATTTTCATGTCTTGGATTTAAATATATATCTTCTATCTGTTATCTGTCTCGGTACTTCAGATGAATATGCTAAGAGATTCTATTTCTTTCCTCTAGGTTCAAGCTCATACTGGGACATTTGCAAATTGACAACCAGCTTCCTTTAACTTTGATGCCAGTGCTATTAGCACCTGAGCAGATGAGTGATATTCATCATCCCGTATTTAAGACGACTATTACAATGCGAAATGTGAACTCTGATGGAATTCAGGTGTATCCGTATGTCTATATACGGGTAAAGCTCTATCTGCATTATGCTTAGCATTTGGGTACACTGGGTTTCTTTAGACAATAGCGTAACTGATCATATTATGTTGATAGGTGACTGACAAGTCTTGGAGGCTTAATGTTCATGAACCGATCATCTGGGCATTAGTTGATTTCTATAACAATCTTCAGCTAGATCACATTCCCCAAAGTTCAAGCATCACTCAAGTTGACCCAGAGATACGTGTTGAGTAAGACTAATATTCAAATCTTTTCTCAGTTAGAAACTTGAAATGTTAATAGACTGAAGAGGATTTGAGTGCTACACTTGGGCATCAGCAATGTTGGCAAGGTCAATGCCTTGGTAGAATCTACGTATATGGCTGTTATTCATTATCACGGGGGAGGAAAATAGCATAAAGTTATTGATAGTGTTTATGATATTTTCATGTCAGTTTCTGTAACTCCTTTCCTCCTGTTGACTTTCCTCCGTCTGTTGGGCTATATGCTCCTAGATGGTGCATGCAAGTACACGTGCACATTACACTTGTATATGTTCTAATTCTACAGCCTACATATTTATCCACTTTTAAGACATACAAATTTTCTATATCCAAGTTGAGTTGACTTTGTTAACTATTTAAGTTATTCTTTTAGGGTCTTAGTGTTCTTGTTTTCAGTATCTTCCGATATTTTCGAAGCTAAGATTATGATATGAGTAATATTTTATGCACATATTTTCGAAACCCATTTCTGGCCAAAACCCATTTTCTCCACTTGAATTCCATGCGCACATATTGTTATATGAGTAATATTTTATGAAATGCTCGTTTACCATTACTAGAATTTCTCCTTCAATGAAAAGTGTTCTGAGAGCACTTATTTCAGTCAATAAAATATATCTTCATCATCAAATGCTTATTAGAAGAGAATATCATTTAGGAGTTTGAAGCTGAGTTGTAATGATTATTTTTCCCTCTTCTGAACTTTTCAGCCTGATAGATGTTTCGGAATTAAGGTTGAAAGTGTCTCTGGAGACAGCACCAGCTCAGAGACCTCAAGGGGTTCTTGGTGTGTGGAGTCCTATACTTTCTGCTATTGGAAATGCCTTCAAATTTCAGGTCAGAGAACATTTAATATTGCAATGACCCTTCCTGCTAAAACAGCATAGTTGAGTTCAGGAGAAAAGTCTACAGGCATTGCAAATATCAGGCTACTGACTGATTTTTTAATTTTAGGTGCATCTGAGGAGGGTAATACGGAAAGACAGATTCATGCGGAGAAGTTCCATACTTCCTGCAATTGGAAACCGTATTTGGAGAGATTTGATTCATAACCCTCTTCATTTGTTATTTTCAGTAGATGTACTTGGTATGACTAGTTCGACCTTGGCTTCTTTGAGTAAAGGATTTGCTGAGCTTTCAACTGATGGACAATTTCTCCAATTGCGCTCAAAGCAGGTAAGTCTGTCTCTTTCATTTTTTAAGCAAGTGGTTATTAAAAAAATTTGAGAACCTGATCCTAACTCAAGATTTTAGGTTTCATCAAGGAGAATCACTGGAGTACGAGATGGAATTGTTCAAGGAACAGAAGCCCTTGCACAGGGTGTTGCTTTTGGGGTGTCTGGAATTGTGAGAAAACCAGTGGAAAGTACCAGACAGGAGGGTTTTGTGGGATTTGCTCATGGAATTGGTCGTGCTTTCTTAGGATTTATTGTTCAACCAGTCAGTGGAGCATTAGATTTCTTCTCATTGACCGTTGATGGAATTGAAGCTAGTTGTTCCAAATGTTTGGAGGCTTTGACTAACAATAGCACCTTCCAGAGAATTAGAAACCCCCGAGCTATTCATGCTGATGGCATTCTTAGAGAGTACTCTGAGAAAGAAGCTACTGGTCAGGTATCTTGTAGCCTTTTTTGAGATGGAAAAGTGTTCCTGAGATGTTTCTTCTTAGAAAAAGCTATCATTTTACTTTTTGTCACTTTTGTAGTTAGGAATGAAATGTATGACCATGGACTGCCTAAACCTTAATTTGTCTCAACTAGTAAGCTTCCAAAGCAAAACCAATTGGTATTATATGGAAATACCCAACTGAGTCACTATATATATATTTTTTAAATGATATGATAACACCACTCCCGTCACATGTAAGCCAAATATTACCCTACCAACAAAAGCAAATAGGTCTCATGCATTGAGAGTAACAATGGAAAATTTGATACTTGACTGTTTTCTTGGTTTTGTTCCAGATGGTGCTCTATCTGGCAGAAGCAAGTCGACGTTTTGGGTGTACTGAGATATTTAAAGAGCCCTCTAAATTTGCTTGCTCTGATTATTACGAAGAGCATTTTATTGTACCATACCAAAAGATACTTCTAGTGACCAATAAACGAGTTATGCTATTGCAGGTGAGACAAGAGGACTTGGGCTAGGACTCGTAAGTAAATTTTCAGCTAATTTTCTTATGCTGTTTTTTTCTTGTTGTCCGCAGTGTTCATCTCTCGACAAGATGGACAAAAAACCTTGCAAGATCATATGGGACGTTCCATGGGAAGAACTCATGTCGCTGGAGTTGGCGAAAGCGGGCAGTCATATACCTTCTTGCTTACTCCTCCATCTTAAGAATTTTAGGAGATCAGAAGCTTTGTTAGAGTCATAAAATGCAGTGTTGAAGAAGTTGAGGGAACAGAACCGCAAGCTGTTAAGATCTGCTCGGTAGTGCGTAAGATGTGGAGAGCACATCAATCTGACCCGAACAGCATTGTGCCAAAGGTTGGTACTTCGTATAAATCTGTACGCTTTAAAGATGTCATGTAAACAACACTAACAAGATTTTACTTGTGCAGGTTCCTTCAAGCCAGAGGCATCTGCATTTATCTTGGAGTGAGACTGATAAGAAAGCACCACATGCCCTGAAGAAATCCATCATTAAATCAGGAGAGCTTTCTGCATCAATTTCTGCATCTGATGGAACAAAATTTATTGAACACAGTGTAAACTTTCTGAAGATCTGGAGCAGCGAGAGAGAAGTGAACGGCCGATGTGCATTATGTAGAAAACAGGTGATGTATTCCTTGCCATTCTCTTCTTGTTTTACCGTAGATTACTTCATTCCACAATCTTAACATAGATAGTTTATTTTGTCTACTAGGTCGCCGATGATGGTGGAGTATGTAGCATTTGGAGGCCCATTTGTCCGGAAGGGTAATTACAAAGTTCTTTGATAACTCTTTTTGACTTGTCTTAGATTCTAACCACATTATAACTTAAAAGCTAAAAGCAGGTCATCATTATTGAAGATTAGCTTTCAGAGAGTTGTAACAAGCTCACTCAATAACAGTGTACGAATTAATATATTTATGAAATATGGAATACTTTTGATTCTCAAACCTTTTATCCTTATCATCACCTTAAGTCGTAATTGCTTATTTTGGCATTAATTTTGTTGTTGCATCATGGCTTTGTTTCTTTGATCTCACTTTTTATCCTAATCATCACCTTAAGTTGCCATGTGTTTTTTTCCTCCTTTTTACTTTTGCATTAAGTTTGGAATTGGATCATGATCTTCCCTTCAGGTATGTGTTCATTGGTGACATAGCTCGTGTCGGGAGCCATCCTCCTAACGTTGCTGCTGTTTACCGGAAAATTGACAATCTATTTGCGCTTCCTGTAGGTTATGACCTGGTAAGACAGAGCAAAGGCGTTGTGAAATTTTATCTCTATACCCATTTTGTCTATTACGGCTTGAAAGAGTAAATAAATATCCTAATTTGACTTAAGATTGCTAGCCAGTGTACCATTTGGAAAATGGAGTTCATATTGAGTCTCTGCAGGTATGGAGGAACTGTCTAGATGATTACACGACTCCGGTCTCGATCTGGTCTCCACGGGCTCCTGCGGGGTTCATCTCTCCTGGGTGTGTTGTTGTGGCAGATTTCGCCGAGCCTGAAGCTGATTTGGTACATTGTGTGGCAGAAACACTTGGGGAGGAAACAACATTTGAGGAGCAAAAAGTTTGGTTCGCACCGGAATCATACCCGTGGGGTTGTCATGTGTATCAAGTCCAAAGTGACGCTCTTCATTTTGTTGCTCTAAGAGAAACTAAAGAAGAATCCGGGTGGAAGCCCACCAGGGTTCGTGATGATTTCCAGCCTTTGCAATCCGAGTAAAGACAGAAGGTGATGATGTCGAGCCAAAAACCAACAGGAGATGTGCCATGATTCATACAATTGTTTTTCCAGGCCTCTGAGAATATTAGAATCCGATAGATATGTTTGAATGGTCAATTCTTTGATTATCAACCCTACTGCTCTTTCTTATGCACGGAGTGAGATGGAAGAAGTAATTTTATTTTACTCCTACTTGGAAACAAATTCTTCCCAAGAATAAGCCAATATTTCATATATTTGCCCCCAAAATACCTATCCAGAGAGTTGAACAAGTCGGGTAAAACTGACCCTGACTTTCTCCATTAGCGGTTTAAGACTGTTTAATATGTTTCTCCTAATCATATTAATATCACGTGAATATTTTAGCGTCAACAGAAAAAATTAGTCAACTTTCGTATTAATATCGTAAATTGTCACGTTAACATTTTAACGGTCAACAAAAAAATGTTTAAAAAATTGTATTGATTTTATTTTTTAATTGGGGGAGTCCGTGAAAAATAATTTAAAAAATAATTTTTAATTTCTCTTTCAAAGTTCAAAGCCCTTTTTACCTAATTTCCTACTGAAGTGAGTCCGTGAACCGAGAAAATAGTAGTATATGATTAATTTAATGTAAAATTTTAGCTGCAATCAATTTTACTTTGTTTAGTTAGAAATAATTAATTAATAAAAATTTATTATAAATAATATAAGTTATACTATTTATACTTTAAATAATTCACATGTAATTGTAAATAAAATAATTAAATTAAGGAAATTTTACACAATATTTTGAATCTAAAGTTTTTTTTATTAATATAATAATAATTTTTAAATCAATTTATGATGTATAATTCGATAATTTGTGCCTGGCAATAAAAATAATATATTTATACTTCTGTAGATTCATTGACAATGGCATTCACATATCTATTCAATTCGTAAGGGCTTATAGTTTTAATTTACAAAGCACTAATCCTAGATTCTAAAATTCTCGCCATTTTAGGTACTATCTCTTATATGTTCTATCCATGAATCGTATTATGGAAGTAAAGGAAAAGAAAAAAAGGGGGAAAAAAGGAATGCAAAGACCAAGTCTTCAGGGCATCCCTTGTCTTTAAACATATCTCTGTATGAGAAACCTTAAGCTGCACAGCTCGGCGGAGCATGGGACATCCAGAAATTCATTCATAGTTCGAACTTCAAACCTTTTGCCTGTCACCCTTTCTAGTGGAAGATGTACCGGCGGACTTGTCGGCCGAAGAACTTGCCTCATCTGATTCTTTATTACTTGCTTCAAGCTCTCTACCACTTGACTCATCGTTGGTCTTCTTGGCATTTTTGTTTAGGCAGCTGTTGGCCAACTTTCCCACTTTTTGAGCTGCACCGAGTGAATAGTTGCCTCTAAGTCGAGGATCGATTATCATGGTGAATCGTCTACTATCGGGTGGGAACTGTTTAACCCAGTCTAGAAGCTTCTGCTCGGATGTTGGGCGGTTTCTTTCGATGGCTCGCCTCCCCGTGAGGATCTCGAAAAGTACCACTCCGAATGTCCATATATCACTTTGGATTGTGAGATGACCGGTTTCAACATATTCTGGGGCAGCATAGCCGTAAGTTCCGACCACCTTTACCGAAATGAAACGAAACAGTCAACTACCTTAGTTCAACAAATGTTATGAAATGCATCATGATTCTCAAAACTATTTAAGAGGCAATTGTGAGTCATGAGAGTCAACAAAAAAGGTCAGCAGATAGTGGAGGGTAAACTAACAACAAACAAGGATGCAATGCAGATTCGTTAGATTCGTTGCACACAACAAATTGAGACAAGAAATAGTGTACTCCGATATCTACTTACCGCAGTGGATACATGAGTACGATCCCCTGATGGCCCTTCCCTTGCAAGACCAAAGTCCGAGAGCTTCGGCCTAAAGTTTTCGTCCAAGAGCACATTCGAGGATTTGAAATCTCGATATATCACCTATACAAATATCACAGTAGCAGCCCATTATAAAGATTGAACAAGATCATCTGCAGTACAATAACAAGTAGGTAATTTAGTGCATCAGTTGTTAGAGATGCTGAAGCAGAGGACGATCCCGGGTGATAATTTAGCATGTTTCATATAAGATTGTACCTTAACTTCCAAACCATCGTGTAGATAAGCAAGTCCTTCAGCAGCACCAAGCATAATCTCTAGTCTTGTTCTCCAAGGTAACGTGGATGTAGTGTTAAAAAGATGATCTTCCAAGCTGCGATTAGGCATGAATTCATACACCAGCAGCCTTTGGATCCCTCTTTCACCCGTCTACCGAACAGTACCCTAAAAGTTTTACAAGGTTCGGATGACTAACCACACCCAGGAATTGAATCTCCGCAAGCCATTCTTTATGACCCTACAAGGTTAACCACAATACCATGAAGAAACAGAATCTGATCCCACAAATGCGAAAGGAAGAAACAAGTTTCAACCTTGAAGCAAGTACCTGTAAACCGAGCGTGTTGAGCCTCTTTATGGCTACAACAGTAGGGTCGCCTCGACCATTGAGAGGCCTAATTGATCCCTTATAAACACTCCCAAAACCTCCCTCGCCGATCTTTAACATCCTGTTGAACCCGTTTGTTGCATCCTTCAACTCCTCTAAAGAGAAGACCCTCAAATTATGCTCTTTCTCTTTATACAATTCCGGTATGCTCCTAGGAGAAGGAGTTGATCTTGTTGTCCGACTCAGTGGATTATCTGGCTTACTTTGGTTCCTCAATTCAGGAGCAGATCTTGATTCCCTTCGTTTGCTCTTTGATTTGTCCTTGCTGAACATAGAAAAACACTTCATTTTCTCTAACTTGGCAAAACAAAATCTCTTCAGGTTATATCCTCAAAATCGTTGCTTCAAAAGGAGAAGATTAGACCCGGATAAGGAACAAGGGAAAGAAAAATACCCAGAAAAGCCCAGTTTCAAAGCAATGGAAAAATGAAGAAGAAGAAAAAGAATAGGTGTGTGAAACAAAATCGAAAGCCAGCTAAGAAGCAAAACCCAGACAAGAGAGGGTGATTAAGGTTTGGAAATCACTGCCGACACCTAGGTTAGAGTATAGAAGAAAACAAGGGTGAATGATGCATTCAGTCATTGAAGTCAAGACCATGAAAAGGACGGGAGAAGAAAGGAGAGACCCAGTTTGACCAAACTGACAGCAAATACACACGCTTTTATACAAATCTATTCTATAAAGTTATATCCCTTCGTTGGCAAGGCTCATTTTGATTTTTAAAGGGAGGACTTTTAAAAGCACAAGTCATCAGCAATATTATAAAATTCGTGAAGAATGGGGTATAGTTTTTTCTACATTCACATTTGTTGGGGAAGTCTAAAAAATTTCAGCTTAACAACGGTGCAGGGCGGATCCAAGGAGGGCAATGGAGCTTTGGCCCCCACCGATTATATTTTTAATTATTAATTAATATAAAATAAATATTTTTTTAAATATCCTTCAATTAAAAGAATTTCTATTTATAAAAAATAAAAATATTTTAACCTCCACTATAATAAATTCCTAATTCTGCTCCTAAAATAGTGGATGTATTTTGCTTTTTGCCGTTAGATCAATTATTTGAGGGGAAAAAATCAATAGTTATCGTTGCATGTAAAAAAAAAATTGTGAAACCAAGAAATATTAAGTATTGATAAGTATATATATATTTAGTTATAAATGGATACTTATCTGAAATAAATATTAAACTGTATTTAATATTTTAAATTATAATAAAATATTACTAGAGTATATAACTTTTAGGTTGGAATAGGTAATATTTTAGTTTATAATCTAAAATATTAAGTTAATAACAAAGTATGTAAATGAGATAATTTTTCCGATTAAAACCTAAAATATTAACCTCGATTTAAGTTTGACTCAATTTCGAAATTCATGCAACATTTTAGATTGTAATCAGAAATGTTACCAAAATATATAATCATTTTAAGTCAAACTTTAAACATTATCCTAAATCATAACAAATATTAAAAAGAATATTTTTTTCAGCTGCAACCTAAATGTTAGAAAAATGTATAACATTCTAGGTTTGGATTGGATAATAATTTAGATTACAACCTAAAACATTACCTTAATCGTAAATGTCGGATTATTTTCCGATAAGTTTCGATACTCAAATAAAAATATTGATACTTAGCGTGAAATACAATCGATTTGCAACGTTTAAACACAAAAATAAAACTCATGGTTTTTATTTCTCATGTGATGGAATATTTCATTACAGCATGATTTCACTCAAACTCGGTTATATTAACACAAGTTCTGATACTCATCAAATGAGTTTCGATACTCAAGACATCCACTTAACATTTTAGGGTATGAGGTTATAAAAAATTTCATACTCCAACTTGTTTAAGTAACAAACTTTAACATCTGGACAAAGAAGTTGAAAATATTTTATTCGCACTGAAATATTCGTACTAAGCTAATTTATTTTGATAAATATGAAATAAATTGAATGGACTATTCTTCTTATAAGTTTCGTTACTTCAAAATTATCTTACTTAATTATTCTAGAATAAATTAATGTAATTGAAAACTTTATCATAAAATATCATATTTTAAAAATTAACTAAAATGTTAATCTCAATTTTATATCTTTGAGAGTCGATATTTAGTTACAAATATTGATATTTGTCGTGAATCGTGTTTTACATTTTAGGTTGCAATTGGAATGTTACCAAAATATATAACATTTTAGGTTGCAAACTAAAATATTACGTTAATCTTAACCAAGCATGTGAAAATGATAACTTTTCCAATTACAACCTAAAATGCTAACCTCAATTTTAGATGCTCATAAGTATCGATATTTAGTTACAGATATTGATATTTATCGTGAAATAAGTATTAACCACATTTGACATTTTAGATTGTTTGGATTAACATTTTAAGTCGTAACTTACAAATATACCCATAATCAGTATGTAAGACCGATAATATTTCAGTTACCCCTAAAATTTACAACCTAAATGAAATCTTTGTTCATTAACAATTTGCAATATTCAAATTTGGTTTTTTGTGTTTAAAAATGAGTGGAGTGGATCGTCAAGTTGATACCTTCTTGAGAATTCCAAAATTCATACACAAACGGTGGAGAAATGGATAGTCAAAATGGTTTACGTTGTTGTCGTTTCAACAGTGAAGGCAACTGGAAATTGCTAAGAGCAGAATTTCTATTCAACTTCAACTTTCACCTGTAAATTATTTGAAGAGATTGTTTTGTCACTTCAATTTTTTGAATTATAACAAATAGGTGAGAGTACACATATTTAAACAAAAATGAAGTGTATAGTTAATTTTAAAAATTGTTTATTTTCTCTCATAAAAAAACTTTATAATTTTTTTAAAAACTCATGTTTTGACGTTAATCGTACGTTAACTACGATTTTATATAGAAGGGTCTTTTATCTCGCAATATAACGTTAAATACCAAATTTTTTAAAAAATAACATTTATCAAATGATCATTTTGATAAATATAGAGATTAATTTTACATTATACCTTATTTAAATATCTAAGAGGAAAGAATTACCCGATCTAAAAAAGATAAAGCCTAAATTTAAAATTGATTATTCTAATCTAATTAAAAGTCTTAATAGGCACTACTAATTCTCCCCTTAAATTACAATTTTCCCCTCTACTTAGTAGTCTTCAAATCATCTCATCTCAAATCAAAATTTAACCATCATATTGAATTATGCTTTTTCATTCATATTATACTTTAACGCTTCTCTCTGCTGGCATTTCACCCTTCTTAGGGCAGTAAACGAGTTGAGTTGAGCTCGAGTATGTTGAACTTAACTTGATTCAAAATTCTAAAATAAAGCTTGATTCGTTTCAAAATTCACCGAATTTAAAATTTTTAAACTTGACTGGAACTCGAAATTATGAACTAAAGCTCGAAATAAAAAAAATCTGAAACTTAACTCTATTGAAACCTCAAACTAGAACTCCAACCTAAACCTTAAATACATGAAAATTTTTCTACGTTTTCTTTTAAACAAATCAACTTAAATGTTAATATAATTTATTTTTCTTAAAAAATCTTGATATATTATATTTTCGAGCTGCTCGCAAGCTTTCGAGTCGAGTATTAAGTAGTTTGTTTCGGCTCGTTAAGAACTCGAGTCGAAATTGAGCTCAAATCAAGTCCATTCGAATTGAGTATTTCAACTTTGCCCGTATCAATATCGAATAATTTACGATCTCTCTTGTCTCATTTTAGGTCCTACCCCTTCCCATCTTGCTTTAGGATTTAATTTTGCCCTCGCACATTGCCAAAGTAAATTGGTCAAATAGCCATAATTACCCAACTTCTGCCGCCGAACAATTTAAGCTCGGTACCCACCTCTTGAATTCTTTGATAATGCAATTCGTTTTCCTCACCTTTGTTGGAATAACCAAACCAATATGAGCCAACTAAAACTCAAATTCAATAATTTTTAATGACAAAAAGCCATAAATAAAAGTATTTAAAAATGAATCCAATTTAATATAATCCGTCTTCTTTGTTTTTGGTTGTTCTCTAATTTCAAGGTTTCGCCTTAACGAATTGAGATCGATCACACCTTATTTTGGTGAGTGAATCTCTCAACAGAAATTTTTTATATACACGAAACTCGAATAAAAATATACTTACCACTTGAACCAACTCGTTACTATGAGTCAATCTTCTTTTGGCCTTACATGAAACTTTTACAATTTAAAGAATATTTTCCACTTAAATAACGCGTTTCACGTTACTAATTATGTGTGAGATATATTGTCTCTGTGCTCCAATTTGGTGTTTGTGCAACTTTTATGCTGTTGATTAAAAAGAAAATACATCTATTTTGTTAGATTGTATAAATTGATGTGACACATTCTTAACGATATGAATACTTTTCTATGCGAATGAAATTAAAACTGTGATTTAGGACGAGAGAATTATAATTCCATATACTGCTTATTCATACACCAATTTTAAAGACCAACGAAATTTCAATTTTATTCATTCTTTTTCACTTATGATTATGTCAGAGAGTAAATTCAATTTGAAGATTTGAATGTGAACCATCTTAGACTCTTATTTCCTCAAAAATCGTTTGACGAGAAATGACATAAAACTCAAAATCTTTTACTCTGACCATTATTAAAAAGAAAAACTGAGATGTATGCAGATGTTAATATATGAATATTAAATAAAAATCTTCCAATATAGAAAATAAAAATAAAGATTTGAGCATACTGATTAGAATATAGTCTTGGGTACAGTTACAGTAGTAGTAGTAGTAATAAAACATTATGAAAATCAGAACAATGTATTAGAGTAAGAAAAAAAACGGTGTACAGATCTCATCATGCTAATGCTATTCAATGATATAATATAACATGACTACTGCGAGGTTAGCGCATGGGAAGTTCAGCCAAACTCTTAGTGGATACACCAAACTATTATAAACAAAAATCAAAACAGCACAACCATACCCTTCTCCCGGAGTATAGGTAGCAATGATTCTACATTACAAATAGTCCTGACATGTCATCAGGTGGTCCATTCTAACTCTTCAATTCGGAGTCCAAAGTAGCCGTCGGTTCATTGCAGGTGGTGCTAATCCCGGGATATCACGGATGTCCTTGTTGTTTGGATTCACAATCTGAAAAGAAAACCCAGCAATTGAGCATAGGTATAGCTACTGTGTGCAACAAGAACGATAAATTAACCTAGGCAGCTTTCAATCTGGAATTTCACTTGGAATCTAGAGAAAATGATTTTAATATTCATCCAGTTATACACGATCCACAATACATATTAGTTCAGTGGTCAAAATGTTGGAGCGAGGTTGAGGAAAACAATCCTACCTTCACGATTATGATGGCTATAACTCCAATGACAATAAGAAACAACAATGCCATAATGCATTTATCAGTAGCAACCTATTCACAATGGATAATAAAATTAGTAAATACAATTTAACGTGATATGGATCATATGAGTGAGAGGAAGTGTATGTTTCAGAGACTGACCTGCCTGCCAATTTCTTTGACCAGTTTAGATGCTTTCTGGATTGAGAAGTGGATAGAATCCAGCTCATTAACGATCCTGCTCATTTGTTCAGTCTAGATATGATAGAAATAACATGCCTTAGTTTGAATATCGCTGTATAATCTCAAAGATTAATACAATCTAAGTGTAAAACTTGATGACCATGATGTTTAATTCTTAATGCTTTCAAGTTGTGTACTGAGCCTTGAGAGCTGCAGCAGTTTCTGTTCCAACATCAACAGTATCTTGAACAACCTAATATTAAAAAGGTTCAGGCAAAATTAGTCATTCATTCTCAATAGCCCATCAATCTGGATGTGTTAATGACGGGGGAATTAATACAAAACGTTGGACATCCCAAGACTTCTTGCATTTTGTTGATTTAAGTTAATATAGAAAGAATATAGAAGGAAATTTCAAGATCTAAGGATCTGAATATAAAACAAATTATTTCTCTATATAGAAAATGCACGGGTGTCATATAATCAGATGCAGAAAAGTTTTGATACCAACCTTCTTAGCCCTGTCAATGGATTGATCAGTCTCATCCCTCATCTGGTTTCCTCTATCCATTAGCTGTTGATTTGTCATAGCTGCAGAACTACACAGGTTGTCTCAGAAGAAGTTCAAAATTGAAGGAAAATAAGATACCTACAAACCATTTCCAGTACATTCCAACAACATCCCAAGAATCATGTAAAGGAGTCAGAATTGGATCAGGCAGAACAGTAGAACAAAGCTTCATAGTAAGATTATTTCTGGAAATTCATGCTGCCATACCAACAGAATATATTAGCCATTAGATATAGCTCTGATCAACGCTCGAATAGTTCTTCATAGCAAAGTTTATGCTGAGAATTACTGGCACATCTTACAGCCACTACC